GTTCATCATAGGCGGGCATCATCATAAGACAAGTGACGAAAGCTGGGAGGCGTAAGGTGTGAACTACGCGCGCGCGATCTCCCGCGGCGACGCGAAGGTGTGATGGATCATCTTCTACTACATAAGCAGTCAAGTCTGCAAGCCACGACGTGTTTGATCGGTCATTAGGATGGAATTCGTGAAAAATTCTTGATTGACGTGTCGATTTTTTTCATGAATAAAATTTCTGGCTCAATGCTGTATTACATACATTTCGTGTAGCATTATTTCGATAGTTTTTACGAAAATCATTATTTAATAGTATTGTTAATCAAGTAGTGCTTTTAAAATATTATTTAATTAAATGCAAAACTAAAATTTAATTACATTAATAGAAATTAAAAAAGATTACGAAAATATCTATGATAAAGATTGATCATCATACTTAATTAGTCATTATTAATCCAAACTTGGACAATTATGACAAATTACTTTAAAATAAGAACTTTGAGCTATTTAAAAAATTTCAATAATGAAAGAAAATAGTGTAGGGTATTTTAAAAATGAAAAGAACATCGTATTGCAGTGAAAAACAAAATTTAAATGAATCTATAAAACTGTTCTTTTTACATAAGTACGATATCTTTTACAAAAAGCACTATTGATGATCGCATACAAGATAGTCCATCTGTGTAATAATCTGTATATATTACTAAGAGGGATTCTTTTTTTTGTTCGTTAGGATTAGTTTCGGTGTCTTAAAATAATTTTAAGATAGCGTAACTAATACTAAAATCATGTCCCTGTATTCAAATCAATGTTCACCTTAGTACTACTAAGATAAACATTGAAAATAAGATGAGCAATGTTAGTATAACTAAGTCGGATATGAAAATATATCTTATTTACTGATAATCAGGCTTACTGATAGAGGGATTCTGATTATCTGTAAATAAGAAAGGTTTTCATGTACTACTTAATAGTACTATTATAGCTCATAGAAAGTAGGGAAAACAGATAGTAAATGACTAATAGGGAGATGTTTACTTATCTTCAGTGTCATTTTAATAAGTAGGGAGATGTTTATTATTTATTTAGTGCTATTAAAATGATTGTTAGTAAACATTTTCCTATTAGTCATTTACAACTTCTACAATCCTTTACTGTGGTAAACTCAACAAAGTGCTTTGACCAGGTGGCAAATAAACAACCTGTCTAGATCTTGCAAGTTGATATGCAATATCTTCAGCAGCTTCAATTCTCCTAAGCTCTACCAAACCATCACCAGCATCTGAAAGAGATTTGGCAATTAAACTAGCAGCTTGGGGCATCACCCTCTGCAGTGATGACAGCTGCTTTCTTTTGTTGCTCAGCTTTTTCTACAAGGAAACGAGCTTTTTCTGCTTCTTGTTGAGCTACTTGTTTTAACTCAACAGCTTGAGTGAATTCTTTACCAAAAGTTAAATGAGTCTAGAAAATTGTAAAAACAAGAAATTAATTAAACTGGAAATTATAAGTTATGTAATTGGTTGTTTATGTACATACAATAGAGATGTCATCTAAGATGAAACCAAATTGAGAAGCTCTCTCTGTCAAATCTTCACTGACTTTTTGAGATACAAGTTCACGTTGAGTGATCAATTCTCCAGCATCAAACTGAGCAACAACTGCTTTCAATACTTCAGTTGTGATGGAAGGTAAGACTCTTTCGTCATAATCAACACCAAGAATTGTATAGATCTTTGGCAAAGATTCAGGCACTGGTCTAAATAGAATACGCAGAGTAATATTTACATTTTGCAAGTCTTTACTTCCAGTTATTACTGGCACATTTCTAGGTCTTGATCTGATGTCAAAGATAATTGGCTTCTGAATCCAAGGAATGAAAAAGTGAGTACCTTCTCCCATTACATTATTTTTAACACCAGAAAATCTGTCAAAGATGACAGCTCTGTGACCACCATCAACTAAAAAATTAGATAAGCTAAAGAATCAATATTTATACTATTCGGATGGAATGAAGCAGTGTTTGACCCATTGTATATTTTAAATATTATACGTTTTACAAAATTTTGTTATGATAATATTAAAAGATAAGATAAACCTTATCAGTCTTCAAAACAAATATATTTTGGCAAGCATCTTTCAAAAAGTGAAAATAATAAAGCATAAATGACATGAGATGCAATAAGAAAATGACTTAATAACTCACCATTGTAAAGTGCTGAATTGACAACACCGCCAACAAGAGCTACTCCCAAACCTAGTTGACCAATCCTATTGAAGAATTGTCCAGCCATATTTTAGAAAATAAACTATCTGTAAACACAATTTAGACAAATTATCAAATTATATGATGCAACACTTTTCACTTACGTATATCTCTCACATGGAGATACTTCGCGCAACTTAACCTTGAAACAAGACATGTTCCAATATCGTTTAACCTATTTTAGACTACTAATACGACAATGTGAGAGTCGTTAAATAATGAAAAAGTCATCTAAACTATAATAAATACTCTAAGCAAACTTTAATAACGAAAATATTAACAAACTTTTGAATCACCGGTACAATTGCAAGAAGGTGCCCAATAACGTGCTTTTCACTACCAACTTAGGCTTCCAATATCACAAATATGTATAATCGACCAAAGATGAATATTATCCTCTGTTTTTAAATTAGTAAAAAGAAAAAGTTCAACAGTTGTTCTTACGTAACAAAATTGTAAGGGAATTAACTTTTTATCGTCGTGTTATCCTCGTGTGCGGCGTTACATAGAGTGAAGATGGAGTCGACATTCGATTCACAGTAGTAGTCCCACATGTGTGTACAGTCACGTGACTTTTTCATACATCATATAGAGCTGAATAAATCACAGATCAGCTAAATGATTTATTTATTTATTATTTGGATTGTTTATTAGTTTGATTATTGCTATGAGTTTAATCACGACAGAATGCAGCGTAACAACTACGTTTATTACAATCCAAGATTCCTGTATAAGATTTTCTCTGAATAGACAGGTTTTAATAGTTCATAAAAAATAGTATTACGTAAATATTGAAACCTAGTTCTATATTTAATCTTATACTAGAATATATAAAAATAGTGTAATTTAATTAAAAAAAATATGAATGTAAGTCGATAGATAAGATGAACTGTGGTCTTCTTGGTTACTCAACACCTCTTCTTTTTATTCTTATTCGATTCGAAAAAACAGAAGCTTTTTCTCTTCACCGTAGCGCGCTAGACAGTGGCGTCAGTATTCGCCGAGCGGAGAATGCATCAACTACGAAACATAAGGAAATACTTTAAATTTGAATCTTTCTATGAAGTTTGTAGAAGCTTCGTAACGTGAAAATATATTTTAAAGCTAAGCTTCGGGAAAATCTTTGGAGCTTTAATTTGCATTCTAAATAAATGATGTACATATTATTACACGAATACTTTACTCAACGGAATTCTATAATAAACCCTCACAACATAATTGATATTTCGAAAGCTTATGAGGTTAAAAATGAAAAGTATCTCATTTTTTCTAGTAAGTCGGTCAGCTAATTACCTTAATTTCTCATCTAATATCAATACAATAGAAGCAGCTGGTAAAAAAATGAAATTGCGATACAATCGAGTTACACATCCAGCCTAATCGTCAAGTAGCGATAAAATAGCAATTGGGTGAAAAGTATAAGATAAAATTATCGATCGAAACTACCAAGCTGCTGACTATTTTAATTTCGTCAGATTATATCGATCGTTAGATAACGTTATTCAACCATTCAACCATTCGATATCTCGCGGTATACGTGACAACGCGCAAGCTACGGCAGCCGCTGGGCGTTCGCGCGCGCAACGACAGTCGATAAATTTCAGCCATGCTTTGCGTCTCGTCACCTCTTTTCCTTATCGAAACTCCATAATCACTCACTGTCTTTTTCATTTATGTTGACTTTTCAATATCAACATGTTTTCCGAAGTAAGTAGAACGTAACATTCTGAAATGATGCTTTGCGCTCTTTCTTATTTGACGCGTATTGAGATTGTTTATTGATTGATGCTAGGGTAATCACGTTTGGATCGAAAATGGAATTAAAGGGGGACTTCGACATCCCGAAAGCCTATCGGATTGTCAAATTCGAGAAGAAAAAAATCAAGTTGAAGACGACGACGGCAAAGTGAGTACTTTATAATTTACCCCAACTTGATCAATTTCACGAACGTTATTTTTGAATTCAAGACCTGCACGTTTGTCACTCTGCTGAATCACGCTAAACAGAGTCCTTGTTAGTGCACATTAACGCATAACGCAAAAAATAAGCCTTTCCACGTAAATCAACATTTTATACGCTTGTAAAACGTAACCCATTGAGTAAACACATGTACTTCGTATTATTTATCTATAGCTGTTACCGTTGAAAAGCATTATCTTATCTAAAAATTCGTCTTGATGTAAAATTAAATCTTGAATTTATTAACGAAATCTGAACGTGCAAAGAACAATAGTATGGTTGCTCTTACGTATAATTATTTTTCTAGGTAGAATGGACAACACAGAATAAAATTTTGAAGTCCGTTCAGGCATCGATCATTGACCCGGTAGATGATATGATACACTTAAGTGATTTGGAAGAGTGTGTTATCCTGCGAAATCTTCACATCCGTTATAAAAATCATCAAATTTACGTACGTTGTAATACAAATATACATAGTTTCGTTTTCGAAATTATTTTTTTACTGTCGGCAAAGATCAACTAAAATACTTATCGAAATATCTGATAAACTGATTAAATATCAGTCATTATGTCTAAAAATATTTCGATAAACCATTTATTTACCTTCAGTCAATATTTTCAAAATGGCATGGCAATTAAAATATAAAACAAAATATATTACAGACATACATAGGAGACATACTAATAGCTGTGAACCCTTACCAAATGTTAGATATCTATTCAACAAGGGAAGTGTTGATGTATTCGGAGAGGAAATCGACAACATTACCACCGCATATATTTGCAACTAGTGACAAGTGTTTCCGAAACATGAAAAGTACTAAACGCGATCAATGTATCATCATAAGGTGAGTCGATATAATTTTGATTTCGTGTAATGTATACGAGAAAATACATTTTATTATTTTACGCGCTAGCGGAGAAAGTGGAGCTGGAAAAACTGAAAGTACAAAACTGATTTTGCAATATTTAACTGCCAGAAGTGCTGGGGGTCATTCGTGGATAAAACAACAAATTTTAGACGCGAATTCTATTCTTGAAGGTATATTTCATAGACTTTAATTTGTACGTTTTAATGAAAATTAATCGATATACAATTGCTCAGCTTTCGGCAATGCAAAGACACAGTGTAACGAAAATTCATCAAGATTTGGAAAATATATCAATGTGTACTTCAATAGTGTGGGAGAAATAGAAGGAGCTCGAATAGATTATTACTTGCTAGAGAAAAGTAGAATCGTCACACACTTGAAGAATGAAAGGAATTATCATATTTTTTATGCTATCCTCACGGGACTCAGCCACGACGAAAAACAAAAATTGCATCTTGGAAGTGTATTGGATTATAAATACTTACACGGGGTATATTATTTCAAATCTACGATTACTAATGAGTCGTTAAAAATTTCATCTGTGGTATTTTTTCTAAAGGTTGCTTTGTGCAAGGGTAGAAACGACTCGAAAACGTTTGCGAATGTCAAAGCTGCGATGCAAGTATTAAATTACAACGAAACCACATTTACTAATGTTATCCGCCTACTCGTGATGATACTGCATCTGGGAAATTTAAAGTACAAATCCACGACAATAAGTAGGTCAATTTTTTGAAAAAAGCTAAGTCTTACGAAGATTTAATAACATTTTTTTACAGATCATACTGACGTTACCGAAATTCACGACGACGTTACCTTAAAAAGATTATGTGACTTTTTAGAAGTCGATCAAACTAATTTGACAAATGTATTAACGAAGAAAACTATTTATGCTAAGAAAGAACAAGTGGTATGACATTAATTCAACCATCAAAAATATCTTCTTCTAATTTAAAATATATGCTTAGGTCAGTAATTTAACCAAAGACCAAGCGAGAGAAGTGCGGGATGCATTTGCAAAACTAATATACGAAAAAATCTTCGAGAATATTTTACGGGAAATAAATAATACAATACAAAATACTAAATCACGATCAAAGAACACAATAGGTATTTTAGACATTTCAGGTTTCGAAAACTTCGACATCAATAGTTTTGAACAGTTATGTATTAACTATGCTAATGAGAGTTTACAACAGTTTTTTGTGCAAAACATATTTAAAATCGAGCAAGAAAGTTACACTTCCGAAAGTATTTCTTGGATTAAAATTAATTTTGTTGACAATCAAGAGATAATTGAAATGATTGGCACCAAACCGCTGAATATTATGTCACTTATCGACGAAGAAAGTATTTTTCCTAAGGTATATTTCTCAGTAGAAGCTAGCTATTAGAGGATCTTCGTGTATTTACCTAATGAGAGATTGATTCTTTAGGGTTCTGATTCAAGCATGCTATCGAAAATATCATTAATTCATGGAGTAAACACCAGCTTCGTCAAATTACAATCTGATTCAATGAACGAGTTTGGAATTGTACATTATGCAGGACCTGTGACTTATAATGTAGTTGGATTTCTTAATAAAAATCGCGACATTTTCTCTACTGATATCAAACAATTAATAAATACGTCGACGAACACATTTCTCAAAAATTTATTTGCTAACGACGAGTTAGTTATAAATGGAGATTCTAACAAACGATCGGCGACAGTTTCAATGAAATTTCGAAGCTCATTAGATTCACTGTTGAGCACATTACGCTCTTGTAATCCATTTTTCATCAGGTGCATTAAACCTAATGGAAATCAATTGCCAGAGGTACATATCAAACATTTGCTTAAGATTCGCATTTTGGCAAGTCTGACCATATCTATGGTATTCTACGTGAGTTTATTTTTTATTTAAAAATATGAGAAAATCAATGTGCTGGATATAGGTTATGATGATTTTGATTCATCATTAGGATTTAGCTATTATTTTAATCCATTATCCCACGTCAATAAACATGTTTTCAATTTCAGTAGATAAAGATCGATGTGGTCAGACACGTGTTTTTTTAAATGTAAGCTTATTTACATTTACTGAAATTTCACAGGTTTTTGATAGAACACTTTGTACTCGACAACTTCGCTATTCAGGTTTAGCAGATACAGCCAAAATTCGACGCGCCGGCTATTCATTACGCTACGAGTACACCGAATTTTCCACATTATTCCGAGCTTTAACTCAGGGGATCGATCCGACCCGTATGGCAGACAAGAGATTTGTAACGGAGCAAATCTGCAAGAAAGTCTTAGGTAAAAATGATTTCTGCCTAGGACACACAAAAGTATTTTTGAAAGACTATCATGGTGAAATACTTGAAAAAAAAAAGAAAGAGGTATTAGAAAGATATGCTAACATCGTTCAAAGGAACCTTCGAATGTGGGTTTATCGAAAAAGGTACTTTACTCATTCAAGTTTATCTTTACTAAACAAAGTCTCAATTACTTCTTTTGCACACGATAATTGGAATTTCGAAAATAATATACTCAAAGGATTATTTCTGCCTGTCTTCTGTGATAAGATGTGATTGTTTTTATTTATAAATAAGCACTTATAAGTACAGTAAATATTTGTACAATACATTTGACCAGGTTTTTAAAGATCAGAAAAGCAGTAATAATACTTCAAAAAGTTTGGAAAGGATATGGACCAAGATATCGATATTTAAAAATTCAACATGGCATTCTCCGACTACAATCTCGTATTAGATCACGATATCACGAAGTTAAATTTCAACAGCAAAGAAGAATTGTCATATCTCTTCAGGTAAATAAGACTTTTACTGTGAATTTTCTTTAAACATTTAACTGCAAAATCATTCTTCTTAATATTTTGATTAATCATATTTACAGGCAGTTTGTCGACGATATATTGTTAAAAAAATTTGCGCAGAAAAGGTAAATTTATATTAATTATGATATTTTTAACTGTAACACTAATAACAAACTTTATTTCAGAGAAAACAAATACTGGAGAATAAAAAACTGATAACTCTTCATAATAAAGTAACGAATGTACAGTTAAGTTCAGATAAGAACGATCCAAAGCAGTCAAATAACGATGATAATATCGACAGTATCTTCGACTTTTTAGATAAGGGGAGGAAGAGTAGTATTTCTAAAAAAACGTCAAGTAAACTTTTTAACGTGAGTTTAATTGATTCATCGCACAATCCATTTGCAACATATGATGATTTAAAAAAGAACATTTAATATAGGACATGCTTAGAAACGAACTAGCTATAACAGGATCTCTCCGAGGAACTGATGAATTATGCGATAAAGATTTAATTTCATACGATTTCCATAAATTTGCTGCTATTTATTTCGTGGCTAATGCATCTTCACATTTTTCAAAGAAGCCGCTAAATCGCTCGCTTCTCGATCTTCCCCGCTTGTCAGACCAACTGGTACGGATAAAAATAAAAAACATAGTAGAATTTTCTTTGTGTATATGAATTTGATTTTAACAGGCAGCGAAAGCTCTATCCATAACTATTTTACGATTTATGGGAGATTTGCTAGAACCAGATAATTATGTTGAAAGTTACAGTAAGAAATCAGCAATGAATACAGTGAGCGAGACCTTGACAAAAAATTATTCAAAATCCATAGAGAATGATAACCAACATTTTCTGAGACTGACTTTAAAAAAGAAAAATAAGCTTAACAATATTATTGCAAAAGGTGTTTACTTGAATAATTCCACGAATATCGGCTTTTGTTAATATAACGTATTTTAAAGGTATCGTATACAACGAGTATGAGAATTGGCTCAACGTACCAAGATCGAACTTGGAAAAGTTAAATTTCATAATCGGTCATGGAATACTTCGCCCAGAATTAAAAGACGAAATATATAGTCAAATCATCAAACAATTAATACGTAATCCATCAAAAGTATCATCTACAAAAGGTTGGATACTCATTTCTCTCTGCCTCGGTTGTTTTGCACCATCAGAAAGACTGATAATGTACCTCAAGTCGTTCATAAGGAGGGGCCCAGTCGAATTTGCTTATTTTTGCGAAAAAAGATTGATGAGAACATTTAGGAATGGCACAAGAACTCAGCCGCCTTGTTGGATTGAAATGCAGGTTTCGTATCGTATGATCCGTTGAACTAAAATACTCGTACGACATTCATCAGTATGTTAATATACTTTCAGTCGGTCAAGTACAAAGAGGCTATTACGTTGCAAGTAGAATTAATGGACAGTAGTTTAAGAAGTGTAAAGGCCGATTCCGCAAGTATATCTCAAGAAATCGTAGAAAGCTTATCTCGAGCCCTCGGAATCAGAGACATATTCGGTTTCTCACTTTTCATAATTATCGATGATAAATTCATGTCACTAGGTGCAGAAAAGTAAGTGAACAACAATATTTCTGAACATGGTATTTATATTTAAAAGAAATATGTAAATTAGGCAACACGTCATGGATGCAATATCGCAATGCGAACAATACGCTGTGGAGAAAGGTTATATACAGCGAGATGCAAAGTGGCGATTGATCTTCAAAAAGGAAATATTTTCACCTTGGTACAACCCTACTTTCGATAAAATTGCTACGGATCTTATATACGATCAAATATGTTGGGGACTTAAACTAGGAGAATATAGATGCCAAAATGTAAATATTTTTGTAGTTGGAGCTGTCAATAACTATTTTACAATAATAACGTGTTTAATTCTGCAAAAGGAACATGATTTGGTCATGCTGATAGCGAGACAGTTGTACGTATACAGTGGAAATGGTTTATTACCGCAGCCGTTCAAACACGTCTTACATATGTTTATACCAAACTATATGCTTCAAAAGAACAGTGTACAAAATTTGTTGAGGTTGGACAAACTCACTTTATATGCGTACAGGAAGGTTTGTATAATTCAAATACGGATTGAAGTAATGAATATCAGAAGTACATTCTTTCCTTCTTCTCAGGAATTTCTTGCAAACGTAAAAGTCGACGGCAACGAAGTCAAGCAAAAAATCATCGAGTTTGCCAAAAACGAGTGGACCCTTCTGTTCTCGAAATTCTATGAAGCTAAAAAGATCTTTGGTCCGGAATTCAGTCAGACAAACGTCATGATTGGCGTCAATTCGATGGGCATATACTTTTTTGACAACAAGGAGCGAATTTTGCACAAGTTAAATTTCTACGAGATATACGAAGTCAATTATCAAAAGTATATTTTGTTGAAATGATAATTTCATCTTGATTTAAACGTATTTATTTATTTCTCTGAATTTTCAATAATTTCAGGCATGAAGACGCACTGTTTAATAGTCTGACCATATCGACAATTCAAAGGGAAGAATTTATCTTCCAGAGTCTTGAAGCCGAAAGTTTTGTTTCGCTCGTGAATTTCATTTTGGACAGTCTCAAAATAAAATCGGAATACGTCGTTGCCATTCAAGATTACATAGACGATGGTAAGTAAAATCTATTGATGCACTTTGGTGAAATTGTTATGGATCGATACAATTTACAGAAGATTCTGGAACACATCTTTCTTTGAGAAAAGGCGACATTATTAAATTAGTTGACGGATGTAACGGCCACACGGTACTAACCTGCTCTTACGTCATTGGTGAGAAAAATGGCGTTCGAGGCAAATTCCCTTGCGAATGCGTATATGTACTGCAGACTATAATAAAGCCGTCGCTCAAATCAATGGTAAGTACAAAATATTAATCTTATATATTTCTTTATTCTGACAATTAATATTCAACATCCATAACAGGAAATATTCAAAGGAAATTTTACTTCGGAATCCATCACCAGAACAAAATTCGATCTCAATCAGAGCTTGAAAGTGTCTCGGGAACACAATCTGAAAAAATTCGCAGATGAACATTTCAAGCCAATCATGAGTAAGGCTGAAAAATTATGGAAACACACTCGAGAACCAATTAAAATTCCATTGATGAAAAAGATATCTGACGATGAGGAAAAATCACAGCAAGCTGTTCTAATGTTCAGGAATGTAATGAAATACATGGGCGATCTGCCAAGTAACAAACAAATAAGGATCGGCACCGAACATACAGACAGTATTTTCGGAACTGCTTTGACAGATGTATGTGATTCTCAAATTCCAATAAATAACCTTTGTACGTTATTTATTTTTCCTTAATCGAATAGGGATTACTTCGAGATGAATTGTTCTGTCAAATAATGCGACAACTAACAGACAATAAGATACGACTGAGTGAAGAACGAGGCTGGGAATTGATGTGGTTAGCAACCGGTGCAATGCCTTGTAGTCCCTTAGTGCGCAAAGAGTTGGAACAATTTTTGAATAGCAGGGAGAGTATCGTGGCAAAAGATTGTTTAACAAAGTTAAATAAGGTCGTCAACTCTGGAACTGTCAGGATATATCCACCATGTATGATCGAAGTCGAAGCGATTCGATTTAAAAGATTGCACATATTCCAGAAAATTTATTTCCCTGATTCAACCGACGCTGATTTTGAGGTAAATGTGATCATCCTTGATACTTGTTGAAAACATATTAATGTGAAAAATAAACGTAGATCCATTCATCAACCCGAGCACAAGACATATGCGAAGAGATCGCAAGAAAGCTTCAACTGCACAGTGTCGAATGCTTCTACTTGTACTTTAAGATTTCAGATCGTATAATATCTATGCCGATGTATTATTTCTTCTTCGACTTTATTCGTGAAGTAATAGATTGGATAACTCGACTGAACAGTGCGCATCCAAGTACTCCGTTAGACACGAAATATCAGGTATTATTCATGAAGAAAATATGGATTGATTGTCTTCCTGGTCGGGATAAAAATGCTGATTCTAAGTTCCATTATTATCAAGAAAGTACGAAATATCTAAGAGGATATCATAAATGTAGCAAAAAAGACGCTGTCAAATTGGCGGCTTTAATTTATATCAGCACACACGGGGATAACAAGGATGATCTTTCGCAAATGCAGTTAGTAAATTTATTCATAATTTTATTGACAGATAATGTGATATAACGACAATTATTTTTATTTTTCAGTCTGAAATTGCAAGAATACATCCCTATTGATATGATCGGAATGATTAGTCCTAAGGCTTGGAGAAAACGAATTGTGGCAGCCCACAGTCATTACAAAGGTAGCGTACTAACTAATTCTTCAATAAATAGTAATTATCGATGAAAATGACCTGTGCGCCCGAATAAGATATTTGATATATTTATTTTATCTTATTATTTTCAAAATTAACTATTTCATGTTCCTTAATGAATATAATCAGTAAATAAATACGAATATAGTCAGACAGGCTTGATTTTGCAATTCTAATGTAATCATTAATTCTAAATTGTTTGGTTTAACGATCTATCTAATAAATAGAGCGATTCAAATACATTTTAATGAAAGTTTTAGGTCTTACTCAAGACGATGCAAAAGAACGATTCCTCCAACAAGTATATCAGTGGCCAACTTTCGGTTCAGCCTTTTTCGACGTTCGTCAGACGATGGAAACCAGATTTCCCGAGTTGATTACTTTAGCAATCAATAAAAATGGAGTAAGTATCATTCATCCGTTAACCAAAGAAATTCTAGCGTTGTACGGCTTCAGCGACATAACCAACTGGTCATCCGACGACACCTATTTCCATATGACTATTGGTGGTTTTATAAATGGATGCAAGTTACTTTGTGAAACTACGCTGGGATATAAGATGGACGATCTTATATCATCATATATAGACTTCTTGCAAGGAAATGATGGAAAGACACAGAAGAGTCAAAGTTCAATTGTTCAGTGAAAGAGTTGTATTGCTTTTATGTTTATTTTTTAATTTTTCATACATATTTCTTAAATATACTCACAAAAAAGTACACGTTTAATCAATTATTGATTTTATATGATTTTTGTACACATTAAAATTTATAATATAATATATTAAAAATAGTTATCAAAAGCATTGTAAAAGACTGTTTATTTGGCAGATGACAAATCTTATCTTTTTAGACTATTGGATAGTCATAATATCAGTTCTACCTTAATTAAATGCAGCAATAGGAAATAAAAATTTTCATTTTATTGTAATAAACTAAAAAAAATATTTGTTACCTGCAACCTATTATTAAAGGTTTTTGGCAACTTTTGAGCATTGATGGCTAGTAACAATAATAATAAATTGTTACTTGGAGAAAAGTAATATCACAAAGAAATTAATACTCTTCGATTTGTTTTAAGAAATGAAAAAAAAAAAGATTTGTTAATTTTTATGTTTAGCAGCACAGATATTTGTTAACTTCTAAATATTAATGGCTTATCATAATAAACTCTCAAATACGTTTTGTATAAAAATAATAAGATTATATCATCTTATAATCTAACAAACTCTTATAGATTTATCCGCGTTTTGATGTTGATAATGATCACATTCGTTACGGCACTAGGATTTATCACCAACTTAGAACAAGTTTTTGGAGATCGGTAACACTGTTGACAGAATAATATATTATTATTAGAATTTTAATCGGATGTACTATTAAATAACCATTTACTTTCAGCAAACTGCAAATAAACAAAAATTAATAAAACATGAATATATTTATTTAAAAAAATGTAAAAATAAACAAGTTTGGATTAATTACCTGAATCAATATACTCGTTATAACAAATTTTTGGTTCAAAGTTTGAACTAGAATTACCCTTATTTATCGATGGCTCTAATCTCATTTGTTTACCATTATGTAAAAATAAGAGTATTAGTCTATCATCTTCCAATAATTCAACATAAATTGTATAAGATAGCGGTAGATCATTGCTAGAAACCAATATCCATATTTTTTAACTAACCATTGAACCTTTCTTATTGTTCCTGAGAACTAATCTAGGATATACATTAATGAAATCTATAATATAAATTTATTAATTAAAAAAACATTCAAATATAAAAAAGATAAATTTCTGATGCACGGCATAATACACATACCGTATGAACCGTTGTTGAAAGTATATATAAAATTTGACTGGAATTAAAAATTTGGTAAATATAAAATCAGTTTACTGTCATGATCATGAAAATCTATTTGAAAAGATATATCTTCCTCTCTTTGAACTTATATTTTCACTTTCATACATACATCTTAAATGTTTGTGAAAAGTGATATATGTGTATGGAAGAATGTTTTCGTGAATAATGTCAGGAGTGAAATTGTAAAAATTAGGAAATATTAATAGTTAAAACAAATAATGATCCTCGTAAACTAACAATTACCTGTCCATCCGATTGCAGTTTCAGTATAGAACCTTTGCACAATCGGATACACTTATATTGATAACACCGCAATCCCGTGGATCTGCTAATGCTCCATGGAGACTACATGCAACGTTCTTGTTTAGAGAGAAAAAGAATGAAGACTGCTGTCTCTTTCTAATAAGGTCGCGTGGCTAAGGCGTGCCTAATAAGGCAACTATGGCAAAATACTACGGGGTTTTCTGACCTTCGAATCTTTTCTGGAGAGAGCCTAAAGGCGAGCAAGCGAGTTAAATTTGAATCATCTCGAATTATACGTGATCACGCTAAAACAGTTCCTCATTGGTTAATAAAAATTCGATTCGATTCGAATTCGAATTAAAGAGAAATCAAGTCTATCAAAACAATCAAAACAAATGGGAAGTTAATCTCATCCAAACAAAAATATGTTGATACCGTAGTGAAATATATCAATAATTTAAAAATTATCAATGGTATAGATACTCATTTATAAATTACATGAAACATAAAGTAAATGGCACTTGTTACACACGCGCGTCGCGCGCTGATAAACTGGCTATTAATTTCAAAAAGGATCGAAGCTTTGTACTTGACTAGCCTAATCATTCGTTATAACTTCCACCGGAGAAATAAGATTACTACAATAAACATATTTTAGTTAGGAAACTATCAATTGGTAGATATTTGGTTCCAAAGCGTATATAAAGAAAATAATGATAAATACGAAACGCAGAGTTGATTTCAAATTTTTATTCTAAAAACTATTGACAAATATTTTCTTCTCCAATAAAGCCAAAAATACTTTCATATTATCTTTAAATAATATTCAACTGATATCACAGAATATTTTCTACAAATCTAGGTATTTATGTATTATATTCCTTATAGAATAAGTCGGGTAACATAAATAATAATCTTTGATTCTCCTTTTCATAATTCTGTTATTACATAGAGATTATTTATTTTTCAGCTTAATAAATTAATCTTTATGAGTCAAATTTATTTCGTTATAATCTACATAATGACATGCTAAAATAAATTATTTAAGTACTAGTATACACTAATGGTACTTGTTGAGTGTACACAGTCATGCCCATGTGCCCACAAATACCGTCAATGCTTCTGTCAAGTGTAATGTGCGGAATCACGATCACATTATAGGGAGTGTAGTACACTTTAACCTTTGAGGTTTTCTTCGTTTCCACCACGATTAATTTATTTATCGTGCTTATGCTGTAACAAAAAATTTATAAGCTCATGCAATATAGCAATAACTTTTATTTTTTTATTCAATAACTTCATATGTATATATAAGTACGTACTCGAAGATAGAATTTTTCACAGCTATCGTATTGTTGTAAGCGATAGCTTCACCATTCAAGGTGATGATAGGTTCAGATTCGCTGGGTGTTACTTCCAAAACGTGATCCAGAACGTATACTCTAACAGCGACTTTGTCGTCGGCAATAGTTTTGACGAACACGGCGTAACTCATTAACCCATAGTCACCGGACATAAGAGTCCAATCTCTGAATTCCATTGGGATCATTTGGTTCATATCATTTATTAACTCGTGAGCGTGAGCGATGCATGGCCCTAATCAATAAATATAGACTATTTAAAATATCAAAATTCAATACCATAGTTAAGATTCCCGCTACTTACTGACATCATTTTTATAGAAATCCCCCAAGAAGGTGATGGGGAAGGCAATGTTGTCGAAAACAAGATCATTTTGTCGTTTTTCAACGTTATCCTGCTCGTAAATGACATCAATATACTCCAAAGTGTAGTGAGGACTTACAACGGTGATGTTACCGTAATTCTTGTTAGCCGGATAAGCCATGTGAATTTGTATATGTCCTTCTTCCGTATGCTCTGATCTGTATGTGATTTGAGAACTCCAGAAAGAACGTACCCAGTCTCCGAACAATTGCAACTTGGCATAGTATTCAAGGAATATCTAAAACGTACAATTACATTTCTTCGTGTATATTAACATTCTATAAGAAGTCCTATTTTCACTATCAATATTTTTACCTGCTTGTATGAAACATCGGCCGAGTATTTCCTCATAGTTGTACCTTTAACAATTTGGTACAAGCAGTTCCAATCAAAAGACTTAGTGATATCTAAGTCAAGAGGGTTCGAAGCATTTTTGAAGCAAGAACCAGGTTTCGCATAATTTTTTAAATGTTCAATTTGTTCTTCCAATCGTTCACCAACGATTTTAGCTTTGATGTTAACTTGATCTGTCACGCAATTATCATCATCGGTATAACCGGCAACTAAGGACACCTTGCTAACTGTTTTATACTCTATATTTGAGATATTAGTATTGAGTTTGGGATAAGCTTTAATAGCTTCGAAGCAAATCTAATAAGAGCACTTGGTATTACATTTTATTTTCATTTTTAATAAACAATTTCTATATATTTTTGATAAAATATATACACACCTTAAGATTCTTCTCATCCGGTATTTTTCTAGTAAGTTTTACTTTGAAAGCATTTACATACTGTAATACTTCTGAGCTTATATCTATCTCCCAATTTCTTATAGTATCGTTAGTTGTTGCAGATTTGACCTCGACGTTTCCACGAAGTGTCAGTACTGTTTGCTTGTCGATCGTAAGTACACCAGCACGCCAATTCATTTCAACCTAATTTATTTAGAATTTAGACTTTATGAAAATTTTTTTTATTCGTACACGTCAATAAAACGAAAAAAAACTTACGTAAGATACTGGATGTACTGTGGATGGTGCTACTTTCATAATCAGCCCACAACTGCTTGTGTAAGGGTTGTTCACGTAATTGAACATACCTTGATGGACAATCATGAACAATTTAAAGACAAAATCCGCCTTTCTAAAAAAGACAATTCAAATAAATAAATTGGATAATCACAGACAGTTCTTTAACTTACCGATTATTCTTTGGCGAATAGAAAATCCTGTACCATTCTTGCATTTCTGCATTAGGTTCAAAGTTATGTTCGCAATCGAACATACCGTAAGTGAATTCCATTCCAGAATCCAAGTTTTGTATAACTTGCAAATTGTTATTCTTGAATGTTGGACCATTGGTAATAACCGTAATATTCTGGCAGGTTGGACAATGAGTTTGCAAATAGTTTTTAAAAACATCTTTAAGGATAACGACCTGATCAACAGTTTGTATCTTCAACCCAGCTGCCGAAGATCGTTTAGCCAATCTTGGCAGTTCCAATTTAAGACTTTGAGCTGACATTTGTAAGCTGAATGTCACATCGATCGGTAAAGCACCAGCCGTAACAGTATGTCTCTGAACAGATTGAGTAATGTCAGCAAAGGGATTGTAGAACTTCATTTGGTAAATGCTGCTTCTATGGAACCTCGAATCGACTTCAACTTTCATAGCCAAAGTATTCTTCTGTGGGAAAAAGTCAGGTTTTATTTTCGTATACATCATATAAGGAGCATCGTTGTAGAACATTATAGGTAATCCAATTCCACTGACGACAACCATCTTATAATGGTTAGCGAACGATATGTCAACTACATTAATGTTGTATTTCTCTTTAAGATCCATTAACTGATCGGCATCTGGTTTATACTGATTATAAAGCTGTCTTATGTAGTCGGTCAGGCCGTTCTCAAAGAATACTTGGACATTCGTTACATAACCATTGTACATTGTCCAAAGTTCTACGTGGATATGCTTGTCAAAGTTTTTATATCCTTGGGTTTGACGAAGGATTGTTTGAACTTTTTCATCCGTTATTTCCATATGAATATTTACTGATGAATCTAATAAATTCTTTGTTATCTGCATGACACTGTTGAAATTGATTCCGTCGATATTCCAATAATACTACAATACAAAATGTATAATTAGTATTTGTTCAATTAACTATCCATATCACATTTTCTGTACTTACTCCGGTAGTAAGTTTCGGTTTCCTCAAGTAAGTAGAAATAACTTCGTAATAACCAGTTTGTGGCAATCCCGTAGCTTCATTAATTTCAGCAGCTATCTTGAATATTTTACCATGCCCATACACAGTATCATAATAATCATGCACGTTAACGGTGGATAAGGTAGAACTAAGAACTTTATGTGGCTTTGTCAAACGCAAAATCTTTTTCATATTCTTAGCATGAACTTGCATGCACGGATTTGTCGACTCTACATTAGACTTCAAAGTTGTATAATGGTAGTTGAACAAATGTTCATCGCGTTCATTTTCCATAAGATCATGAACGTTCAAGAGAATCCTCATATTTAACTTTGGATTCCTTGTTACTAAAAGTTCGTAAGCAGTGATACGTAATGATAGTGGATTCGAACTGTTAGAAAGAATTGGCCAGAACAGGTCGTAAGTTTTATCATAATCCTGACTAATAGATTTAGCGACTGCCCACATCGCAGCAATTCGATATTTTTCACGCTTTTTAATCGTTACATCGACGTAGAATATGTCTTCCCCCTTGATAATTGGAGCTAGGTACTTGTAGATACCTACTCCAACATTTCTCATTGCCATCATGTACAGAATTTTATTATTATAGGTATTTTCATCTGAATGGTAATAACAAATGATAAAATTGATTTCTAGATAATATTGCATGTAAGAAAAAATCGCTCACTCACATTTAATACGATCGTAGTAATATTGAAGATGTGCTTCTAATGCATATGGAATTTCGTCATCCTTGACGGATTTGTAAACTTTATGCAGCAAAATCGAGTAACAAAGTACACCGGCTCTCATCACTTTGTAACTTACATGATCCGGTAAACTTTTCATTTCAATCACGTGTTTAGCGAATTTTTCAGTAGGATTCAGAACGAACATTGGCAAATTCGTCAATATATGTATTACTGTCTCTTCGTCGAGTTTAAAATATACTTGTTCGTCCTTAATAATATCCAGTACTACTTTCCATACAGCTTGAGTACCCACATGCGGGAGCATACGAAGAAAGATTTTTCTAGATTTGAAAATATAAACAATGAGAAATAATTCAAGAAATAATATTATTAATAAAATAACAAACCTTGTCATATTTCCTTTTTCTGAGTGTATATTAAAGTGATCGAACAAATAACGCAATGATTCTTTGTCCATGTAACCGAGATATCGATAAAGAGTCTCAAGTAAATACTTTTGCTCTGGATTTTTTTCTTCGACGTCTAACTGATTTTCTTTCAAAAATCCAACCATATCGACCAACAATTTTTTAACAATTGGTACGAGAGTCTCCTTTGAATCGACTTGATAACGGCCTAAATGAATTTCTTCAGCTGAGCTGATGTTTGGTATGTATTCGTGTTTGTCGAAAGTTAAATTTGAAAGTTTGACGTCATCAAATTTGGTTGCAGATAAGTCATATTCCGACTCATCGGCAACTTTCTCCAACTCAATGGTTTGGCTATAGAAAATAAAAATATTATTAAAAAGGTCTGCTTTTTTTCAATGAAAACTATGTAGATTATTATTACTTTGTCTCGATAAACTGAACTCCGTAATTATTGTGAGACCACGGCAAGTAGCTAAATTTCTCATTAGAGACGACCTTCTTGAGTACATAATCAGCCACATCTTTGATTGAACCATAAGTATAAACTTTCTTGACAGCTGTGACAAGATCCTCCTATGCCATATTAATCTATTACAACATTCATCAAAAAACGAGCAACAAAGAAATAAACAACATTTTACCTCTGCCGGAACATTACAATCTTCATTCTTAGAATCCGTAACATCGAAAAGCACGAATTTACTGCAATTCCTTGGCTCATACATCTGTTCAAGAATTTTGTCCTTCTCTCCATTGTTGTAGACCAAGTAATCGACGTTGCATTTTCCGTACACGGTATCCTGGTGGTAACAACCAAAGAGAACATTTATCATTTACCGTCCATACGTTCCCATCAGTCGTTACCTACCTCTAATCGATGATAAAACGTTTCATTGTTAATATGTACCGGATGGAAGAGTGACACCAAACCTTTCTTCATATTTCTTGACCATGTAGCGTCGTTTTCTTGGAATTTAACTCCTTCAACCTATCATAGTTTTTATAACTTTAAAAATCACTTTTAGAGTTACTCAACAGATGAAATATACCTCGTGTTGCTCGTTGTATACCACCATAACGGGCTGATGGAAATATTCAATGGCTTCCTCGATAGGATAAAACTTTCCTTCAGCTGTGCTATCGTCGCGTCCATTATAAATATTGAACTGAACATCGTAAAACTTGAGATAGGCTGCGTTCAGCTGGCTTTTGAAAACCAACCGTGCGTTAATTTGTAACTTAGACGCGAAAGCGTCGGGTTCGTTTTGACCAGCCACTACAGAAGCGAAATATTTGTATACGTAGACTTTGCCTTTTGGTGTTGCAACTGTTGAAAATTAAAAGTAGTATTTGAGTTTGCTTTGTTTTACCTTACTAAAGTGAAAATAAATCTATAATCAACCTGATTGAACGGACTGTGTAATTACATCGGGTACTGATGTGCAAACTGCTGCGCTTACGTAGCAAACACTTGCCAACAACGCTAAAAATTTACAATCATTGTAATAATTACGGTATCGTCTTCATCTTCGACTGCATTAGGACAGGTATAATACCATATGAAATTTTGAAAAACATCTAATTTTAAAAAATTTTACATAAGGCCATATGTTATACACTTTTCAGACAGTCAAAATTTAGTTGTGGCGATATTTTACGAAATTTCTTCAGTCAAATGAGTTGAAAAATAATTAAATTTTTAATCAAAATTTGTATTGACTGGTCCATCATTGAAACTCATCAAGACCAAGACTATAAAGAGCATGAAAATATTTGTTGCCCCAACGAAGAAACTTCGAGAAATTAAAGATTTCTTAAATCAACGTTGATAAAACTGAATGTACGATAGCGAGCAAAGAAATTTGTTCGTGTCTTGAGATTGGAGCTTACCGACGAGCGCGTACCCAGTAGCGGTACCCATGTTGAGACTACTAGCCGCAATGGTCGCTTTGGCCCCTTTTTATAAATCCCGATGGCCCCTTAATTATAAATCTTGGAAGAAGCAATGATGAGATAACCCTACAGCAAGCGAGCGTCAAACGCTCTTGCTAATCTATCCAAGATAATGCTGTACACAGCCTCTTCTTCTCCAAGATTTTCACGGTCCCCTCGCTTCTCGTCTTTACGACTTGATCAAACTACGATTAGTTCTTTACATTGTTTCCATATGTATCTTTTACGATGGATGTAATATTGGGAAAAACCATTACGAATTTTGTCGCAAGATTTCACAAAACAAATTGTGTGTTAGTGTGGAATTTTATATGTCGATCTATCAACGGATTTTTTTAATCTAATATTCGTGTTTGGGTTAATGAATTTTGATAGTATGTAGTGTTATGCAACGTGTTTTGTACAAAAGTATGATGACTGAATAAATTCTGACAGTGGAAACTTATTTCAAATTACACTTAAATAAAGAATTGAAAATATGTTATATTATGGTCAAGTTTTTCGTCATAATCTGTGTTGTAGTTAAGTATATTGTTCAAAGTTAATCAATTTTCCTCTTTTTATAGTAAAATATATTGTTTATTACAATATGATTTCAAGTTTGAAGTTATATATATAACGTGATACGTTATAACGAGAAACGTAAACGTCAGATGATAATATGCCAGCAGAAATAGAAAAAGCTGACATGAAAGTGATTATGCTTATAACATACAATTTCCTTGGAAATTCTGCAACTTCTGATTACATAGACACTTTAAGTATTGATTAAGTTCAGTGATATTGGGTTAATATAAATTCAGAAGTAAACAACATAGATAAGCTGACACGCACAACTTTTATAGATTATATTATATATAAATAATATTAGACATTTCAGAAAAAGATAATCCAGTAAAGAATATTATTTATAAATTAAATATTCTCAAATATTATCAAAAATGGTTTAATTCAACAATATTTTGCATTGTATCGGCAAAACATTTCAATATGTATTAAACCAGTTCAAGGTAGAAGGTTATCAATAAACTCAGATTTGTCTTTATTTATAGAATAAAAATGTCATGCATTACCTAAACAGGTAAGCTACGTGAAAGTCAAAGCATAGTTGTACAGAAATTCCGAAATTTCATTTTCGCAAAGTTCAGTGTTAAATAAGCTTTGATCCCCCTGTCACATTACCTGATGCAAAAATCGTTGTAAACATGTAGTTTCCTTAGTTTAGCGCTATATGAAATCACAGTGAAAAAAGAACATCGTAAAATAAAATGTTAATGTAGTGTTTTTAATATCTTCTTAATTAAAGTAAAACTTTCTTTTTCAATTTATTTTTATTTTTCAATCGGATACAACATATACGTTTTTACAACTATCTACGTTTAATTATTATATGACTCCAGAGTTATTGTTTAAAAAATGTCAAAAAAAGTTAATCGCTAATTTATTAAATTTATTTTGAATCGAGTAACCAATTGATTATGCCAAATAATAGATCGTTAGTAAAGTATTGAACTAACAATCTTTATATTATGTAAGTAAAGAAACTGAATGTATAATAATGTTTTCGTAATTTTATTTCTCATTATCGAGCTGATAAACAATTATCTTGGTGTAAGTTTGTAAACTTCTTGAAGAGTATGATAATCGTGAAGTGAATGAATTTTGTCAGGAGGATATCGAAATATTAATTTAGGTCTAATTTATTAAAACCTTCAGAATCTGCTATGAATCTCTCTCTAAGTTATAACTTACTGAAAGGAATTAAAAGATCATACATAGTTTTTGCACTATAAATACAAATTCTTTGCCATATCCCTTTCATAAAGATTACAAAAATTTGATAAAATATTTCCAGCAACAAAACGTTCAGTTTCGTACGAATTCGTGATAGATGTTCCATTTACCAATATAACTCAATAAATTGCAATAGTTACATTTACATCGGCTGAATTCTTTCGGTCTTTAAAGGAAGGAAATTTAATTCATAAAAAATATTATGATATTATAGAGAAGTGAATTTTGTTAGTTTACTATGAATTTTCCTTTATTTTTGTGCTTTCATGTTTTTATATTTTGAACAATTTATTGTCAAATAGTGCAAATATATTTGATTTGATCATTACAGTAAAGTAATTTCGAAATATCAACGTCTTATCCAAAACCCCATCATTCAAATCATTAACAAAGGACAAATAGACAGGATCCAGAACCAACGTAATGACGGCTATGGTGACCGAAAAGATCGGCGTTGAATCGAATGTTTACTCGGAATACTGTTAGGCATTAAAACCCCTGAATGTAATGTCATTTTGTAGTGTTTTTTTTTTTTATTTCTATGCAAAATATTATATTCTGAACGAAGGTGAGGTTAAATTACGAGAAACTTTGTTTGAATAAAAAGACATAATTTAATCATGTTAATTTCGCTTTTATTAAAATAGAGAACTCCTGTACACCACAAATTTTCGGAATAAATGTCGGTAAAATATAACAAAACAGAATTGATCTAAAACTTCTACATGATAATTTTACACATTGTCAATTATTAAAAACACACACATTGAAGAAATTATTACTGTACAAATATTTTTTCGAAACATGAAAATATCATTGATATGATAATACTACTTTTCGATATTAACTCATCGCTGTTCGAGCTATTAGTTGCACATTAAGATTAATATTCTTGACTATTGCGGAAATACGATACGCAAAAATAAAATCTATTTTCTCACATTAATTTTCGTGTAGACTTACGTGATAAGAAAAATAAAATATTTATAATACGAAAAAATATTTACATTCAACATATTCCCTACCACATTCCTTAAAGAACGTCTTTTTTTAATTAATTAGTGAAAAATTACAATATTTTATTTATCCTACATTCACGTTTGTCATTTCTTATTATTTTTGAACTACAAAATATTTTTTTCACAAAAATATTTTTTTCAAGGAACAAATTTGACAAAAACTTTTCACATACTTTGCACATAAATTGTCTGTCGAAAATATACAAGAAATTCTCTTTCGCAAATGAAATGTCGATTTCACATCGATTTTGAATTGACAAAATTATGTCAAACATTAGAGATGAACTTTTTAGATTAAAAACAATTTTACCGTCGATTTATTTTTTTGTTTTTGCTACTACGCGTAATATAAAACATTCAATTTTATAAAATTAATTGTCGTTTGTATAAAAATTATCATGCTTGACATTTACTATTAGCATGCTCTTTCAAGAAGTGTTCCTTAAGCTTTGATAAAGCTTTACTTCTGTGCGAGATTTCGTTTTTCTTATCCTTCGATAATTCCGCATAAGTTTTGTCAAAACCATCAGGCAGAAAACAAGGATCCCAACCAAATTCCCTACTACCACTGGGACTTACAATCGTTCCAGGTGTGCTTCCTGTAATACATACAAAACATAAATAATAATAGAATTTTTAAAAAATTTTTAAATTTGGAAAAAATGTCCGAAAACACAAAGTATACCTTGAAACAGTAAAACTGGGTCACTTGGTTTACCTTCGCAATAGGCAAACGTACACACGGCCTGCGCTTTCTTATCATCGAACCCAGCGAGCATAGTGTGTAAACCATCAGGTCCTAATTTGTCAAGGAACCACTTGATGTAAGGTCCAGGAAGTCCCTTCAGAGCGTCGAAACAGAGACACGTATCTTCGATAATAACTGGTCCTTCGACAATCTTCGCTGCTGTCTTACATTTTCTGATGCAAATTTCATCAATTTCACCTTGATACTCTGGCAAGTCAATTTTACGACTGGTAATTTCTCGAGGAAAGCTGTTGCCCAAAATTGCGATGAACTCCTCTAATTTCTTCGCGTTCCCCGTTACGAACACGATGGGCTTCGCCATTCTGTGAAGTTTCAAAAATGTCATTCCTGCAGTTAAAGTTCTTTTTATGGTTTGCATTAATTTTTTATCCCAACGCATAAATGTTGATAAATAAGCTAAACCGAGCCTGGAGTCATATATTCTACGAGTAAAATTTCCCTTGTGCGAGTAATTATTGTGAAATCCTGTAAAAATATTGAAAATAACTGAAAATACTTCATCGCTGTTTTTTTTTGCAAAATTAAAGATAAAAGAAAATTAATAAGTCGTGAATAATATAAAGTAATAAAACCTAAAATGATTTAAGAAACACTTTCAAATTACGCGCTAAAAATATTTGTTTGATTGGCAATACCATATCGCCGTGAAATACAATACACCACATGACTTTTGGCTAGGTAAGCAACAGCAGTTTCGTGCGAATTTATGTGAAGCGTCGACCAATTATAGGTTAATTCACGGGTTATTATTGCTCAAATTAATAATGATGGTGAGTTTGTTTGGATGATACAGATCGTTGAATTAATTAATTCATATTTACCTTGAAATTCCTCGAGAAATACTCATGAGGGGGAAACGCACGCACACGACAGCGCGTTTACTTCGACAGTGCGACCAACCTAGTAATAACAACTTCGTCTATTAGTTCGTGGACAATTGACAGGTAATTAAAAATTTAATATGCTTGTTCCACCTATCGATCAGCTAATCTGAATAGTTATTATCTTCGATGAATTTAACATAAGTTAAATTGTACTATTTTTGCATAAACAATATTTTGTTTGAAAAATTAAAATCACCATCATCACGAAGTAAGAAAATAGCGGATACATATTCGATAAGACGATAGGTATACCTCATCAGCGTGAGCAACTTCATGCTTTACGCTTTGGATTCAGAAACAGAAAAGCGACGACGACCGACGACGGAGCACCAAGCAAGCACGCACAGTAATCCGTTCAAAAATGCCGAGTCAAGAGGTCGTCACAACGAAAGTCGTGGTTCATCCGCTGGTATTGCTTAGCGTAGTGGACCACTTCAATCGAATGGGTAAGATCGGGAACCAGAAGAGGGTTGTTGGTGTTTTACTCGGAAGCTGGAGAGCCAAAGGGGTCCTCGACGTGTCAAACAGTTTTGCAGGTTAGGTTATGCACTATACCTTTCTGTTTTTTTAAGCTTAGTTCACTATTAATTTGTTTATTTAAATTGTATTCTCTACTGCAAGTGAAATATTGCCTTAGTTGATAGTTTATTTGTTGGGAAATATATATATAGTGGTTGATAAGTTATGTGATTTTGTTTTGCAGTTCCTTTTGATGAAGATGATAAAGATAAATCAGTGTGGTTCCTTGATCACGATTACTTGGAAAATATGTATGGAATGTTCAAAAAAGTCAATGGTGAGAATAGTTTAAAGATATTTCTTGTGTTAAATACAGTGTTTGATTACCTGTGGACTTCAGTGCCTTTTGTTTACTATATTTGAATATCTTCATTAGACAATTATAAAGTATTTATTGCAACAAAATTGTATTGACAGGATGAAAGGCAAGAAATGAGAGTGTTTAAAATGTAAATTATCAAAAATGTAATTCATTTTTTAACTTGATGCTTTATTTTATAACATTTTTTCCAACATAAATCACTTGAACATATTACAATCAATGAGACACAATATTGGACAATCACTTTGATAGTTGTTTGATTTCTCATTTAGCTCGTGAAAAAGTTGTGGGATGGTATCACACAGGACCTAAGTTACACCAAAATGATGTTGCAATAAACGAATTAATTAGAAGGTATTGTCCAAATTCAGTACTGATTATTATAGATGCTAAACCAAAAGATCTTGGTCTTCCTACGGAAGCTTATCAGGCAGTTGAAGAGGTCCATGATGTGAGTGTTTTTCAAATGATAATATAAAATTAAGAAAGTCATATCATTTATTTATTATAATATTTCTATTTTAGGATGGTTCACCAACATCAAAAACTTTTGAACATATTCCAAGTGAAATAGGAGCTGAAGAGGCTGAAGAAGTAGGCGTGGAACATTTATTAAGAGATATTAAGGATACAACTGTTGGTACTTTGAGTCAGAGAATCACAAATCAATTGTTAGGTTTGAAAGGATTACATGCACAAATTCAAGAGATCAAAAATTATTTACTGAAGGTTTATTTCTTTAACTTGTATAAATATTTGTAATTTACCATAAATATAATATGTATGTAAATTGCAGGTAGGAGAAGGTAAGCTGCCTATCAACCATCAAATTGTTTACCAATTGCAAGATATTTTCAATTTACTGCCAGACATGACTCAAAATACATTTGTTGATTCTTTGTATGTTAAAACAAACGATCAAATGTTGGTTGTTTATCTTGCTGCATTGGTAAGATCTATCATTGCACTTCATAATCTGATAAATAACAAGTTAACAAACCGTGATGCAGAAAAGAAGGAAACAGATAAAAAAGAGACGAAAAAGGAGGAAAAGAAAGATGACGAAAAAAAAGATGAAAAGAAGGATGAAAAGGAGAAAGCTAAAAAGTGAAGTGAGAGATGTGTGAAATGATCTTTTTTTTTAAACCAACTTTACTCGCGATTTGCATATTTTAATGAACTGATAACTAAAACAAATAGTGCAAATCCATTGAAACTAGGATTAAAACTTGTCACAATATTTGTACAGATTAACGTTGTTTTTTTTACAAAAAACTATGTTATTCGCAGTGTATTCTCGAATGCAAACAAATATACGGTGCGATTAATGAAATGATCGAAAAATATATTATCGTATAATAAGTATTCTGTGAGACTAATATTCACTATTACACTATGTACTAAACTAAAGATAACTTGCTTTTGAACGATAGAACTTTTTTTTGTGCTCACAACAGTAAAGAAGATTGATATGCATTTTTAAATTTGTTTTTATTCTTCATTACAATTATTATTTAACGTATTTATGAATTAAGAACAAAGCATTTTATTACATTAATTGAAAATAACATGATATTTTATGTCATTCATAGAACGACCAACTTCAATGGGTTTTTCAACAGATCATAGCTTGTTAAACATTGTTTTTAAATCCGTGTTTTTTAGCGCTATGGCTCCTGAATTTTTTTCTTTTAATTATGCTATACTGTATAATTTACAATAATTTATATATGTATTTTACTTTGTTATATTTATCTAAGTAGAATATCTGATAAATGTTTTAAATTATTCATTACTTAGGGCATTTGACATATAGATTGAAAATCCTTTGAAATCTGAATATTAAATGCTTACAAGTTGAGTTGAAGTATTTTTATTTATATAATGAATTGCAGAAAAATCATTTCTCCAGATGCTTGAAACACTAACACTATTCACAACTATGCAAACGTTTCGAAAGCTGACTATGACTTTGTATTTAACCAATGATGATGAAGCCGAAATTAAACATGTAGTTGGTTTTGTAAAGTGATCTTGATGGATTATATTTCACGTAGGATTTTAAATTCTACAATAAAAAATGACGTTTTAATATTGGATGAAATTTAAACGTCGTTGAAGCATATAAAATAAGCTCAGATACTTAACTCTCTCTCTCTCTTTCTCCCCATATATATATAAGGTGTTTAATAAAATGAATCGTTTTATTAAATTCTTTATTACATTTATCATTTACATTTACAAATTAAAAAAAATTTATTACATTACTTAAAAAAACTGTATTTTCATGTTTTTTACAGAGCTCCGAGCGTTTTGATTAAATTTCATTAATTTTGATAATGAAATACTAATTTGGTTTTCTTAATATTTCACAATAATTATTACAAAATTAATTAAAATACTTATTATTTCAATCAATTTCTAAAGAATAAAGGAATTTTATCAGAATTATTTATTTAATCAATTTCAAAGAAACTGTGTTCAATTGAGTAATCGTCTTGCATAACTATCAACTTACTTTTATAAAAATAATTTCAGGAATATTAACAAACAAAAGGTCTATAGGTAGATTATGATTACGAAATATAATCTGAATATATTAATTATTATACATGTAGAATATTAACATTTTGGTATTATTTCTTGGAATAAATTGAATTGGAACTAAAACTAAAACTTATATAAAAATCAATCGAAACATAAAGATTATATTATATTTACATCATCTTATCTTTACAAACTTGAAAAATACTTAAAAAAATCTATTACGTCAAAAACACATCTGGAACTCAAGGCGAACACCAAAAAGAAATGGAGATAATCATTAAGACAATGGGCACACGACAAACTACAAAGCTCGCCGAACTAGTCAAACTTCCACCATAAACAACCCCAACATAAGGTTCGAGGATGCTGTCATTATAATGCTGAAAGTACCAATTGAAATCCCCATCGTTGATCAATTTAACAGCCTCATCAACGTTCGACCCACTATGGTGACTATCTTTTATCTGCTTATCGTCAGTAGGGTCGATGTACGGCGACGGAACTTTCATAATAGTAGGCCTTCCCAAAGGTCGAGTATTACTGCTCGATACTGGAATTTGAGGAACTTGACCACCAGGTACAAGTAAAGCCGAAAGCGCAGAGGCTTCCATATTTCGCGTAGCTGTGCTCGATGTTGCGATTGGTGTTGGGGTGGGTAGCATTGGCTGCATCTGTTTCTGGTCTATTGGCATTTCTTGAAGGAAATCCGCGGAATTTTCTGAAAATAAAAATATCATTTTTCAAAATTGTCTATTAAATACCGAGAGTAAACGAAGAAGAAGAATAATATTTAATACTTGTACCTGTAGTGATAATCTCCAAAGGTGCGAACTCGGTGGTTCTAATCGGCATCTCCTTAAGCACATTGTTAGTCGTCCTCTTGGACGTAACAGCTTCAACCTCATCGATAACCGACTTTTTAGTGGTCGTAGAGCTTTTTTTCGTTGTCGTCGTCGTTGTCGTCGTCGTTGTCGTCGTCGTCGTTGTCGTCTTGGGTGTCGTCCACACGATTTTGCTAGCTATTTCGGAGTTTTGACTTTCTTGAACTTCCGTCGTAATGATTACACGTTCTGGTTCGGTGGGAGCGGAATTCGCCGTGGTACTCGTACTGATTGTATCTTTGAAGCGCTTGTGAACAAAGGCTGATGGTCGTTTGATGGATCCCGATGTGGCGAGGCCTTGCTGACGCTGTCTCGTATTTTTCGGAGCTGCTATTCAAAAACATATTCTCAATTACATTCCGTAAAAGTGTGTAACTTGTTTTACCTGTGTGATTGAACGGCGCGGATATCCTCTCAACTTTAGCCACAGTATAATTCGAGCTTTTCAATGTCTTTTTCTCGTGAACAAAATGACTTTCGTTCTGTTTACCCGTAAATCTCGTTCCGTTCCCGCTAATGTTATTGATTTTTTCCTCTAGACGTGGATCGACGATAGGTACGAAGCCACCTTGAGCTCGGGGTAAAGGTACGAATCCACCGCGATGGATTTCCGGCTCAGTTGGTGGGAAATTCCTGTAGCGTCCACGAGCTGGTCTGACTCCGGCTGTCAGAGGTGGCACTTTGTCCAAATTAGTGGAAATCGAAGTTGGGCTGCCCGTTCCGTCATCCTTGCGGTCGGCTTTCTTAGCGGTATTGCCTATAAATAATTGAAGCTTTCGTGAGCTCATAGCGATCTCCGCGTTGACATTTATTCCGTTCGGTCGCTGATGCATCGAGTTCCTCGAATAATAAAAATGAATATAATAAAAAATGTAGGATTTACAAGCTTGTAATGCAAGTAACATTGCCATTCGTTATTTCAACTCTCACTCGTGCCATTGTCGTGGCCACGCTTGTTGAGCAGCTAAGACAGCGCTCACGTTGTTAGATCTTTTCACTCTACGAGGGTATATAATAAGATTTCGATCGAATACATAAATCGATTACCCCATAAACTGAAGCTCAAACTCGGTAGCGGCACACCAAAGAAAGTAAAGCCCGAGCTGCTTGGCGACGGCGGTATCCCATGATTGCCATGATGTTTATTCGCAGTGGTATTCTTTCCGTGCTGGCTTCTCGACGGACTTTCAACATTCTGACCGATGGCCTGCGGTGTGACGATGAGCGAGGACGAGTCCCCGCTAACCGAGTTGCTTGCGAAATCGCCGGTGGAGTTGGCATGGTCGTGCGGGTAGTCGTCGTAATCGTCGTACACGTAATCCGCATCTTGATTCACTGCCGATGGTCTGGGGCTGCTCTTCTGATTCCCATTGGCGGACAGTGGTTCTGCATTCGGCACGTATTTTATTCGTTGCTGAATGAACGCGCAGCGGCGCTCCTTCGATGCACTTACGATATGGCGACGTAGACGACGCAGTCATTCCCATTGATTTGGGCTCGCATTCGGGATAAGGAGGCTCCAGTCGACGTTCGCGCTCGCACTCCTGCTTGGACAAGCGGATCTCGCGAAAAAGCGAGCCGTCCGCGCAACGCGGCCCCTCGGCCGAAGCTTGCTGGAGCCAGCCACGAAGCCACAGCATGCCGCACGAGCACGACAGTGGATTACCTAGAGGCAAAGAAGGTAAGTTGGTCGTCGAGAATCGTCTCGAGTAGCTCGCCTAGCTCACCATCGATGTCCAGAACCGCGATGTTCGACCTGAGTCTCTTGAAAGCTCTCTCGGCCACCGAGGTCATGCGGTTCTCTCGCAAGCTCAGCACCCTTAGTCTGGGCATCTCGTCGAACGGTTCGCCCTGTATCATGCAGATACGATTGTTGTCCAGCTGCAAAGCAGAGCGAGCAAATGAAGACGCCGCCATGCTCCGACTGCCAGCGAGTAAAAGAGATGCAAAGCGATCTTGGCTGATTTCAGCTGATTTCACTTTCGGTGCCCAGAGAAAGTTGCGCGCGCGAGCTGCCGCCCCGAGCATGACGGATGCGTATCGACTGCGCACTCCGCTCGCTCCACGCTTTGCATAGAAGGCCTTTCGTGCAACTATCAGCAGCGCCGTGGCGCCAATTGCCCAACTGCCTTTGCGCAAGCCGATCGGCAAATCCAACCTCAATCGATACTTACGTTCAGTTCGACCAGCCACTCCATATTCGCGAGATCGTACTTGGTGATACGATGGATGCGATTGTCGCTGAGGTCGAGAACCTCTAGCGATCGCAAACTGTCCAGTCGCATGTCGGCCAAGTTGCTCAATAAGTTGTGGCTGACGTTGAGGAAAAGTAGATGAGGTACGTTTGCGAAGGCGTTGCGCGCGATCGTTTGGATGCGATTTTCTTGAAGCTCGACACTTTGAAGCATTGGCAGATCGGAGAACGCAATGGTTGGAATCATCTGTTTGCAAACGCAATGAGCTTTTTTACCAGCGAACTCGGCAATGCTCGATCGGCAATGCAAACTCACCGTAATCCGATTTTTCGCCAGTCTCAAGGCCTGCAATTCCGGAAGCGCCCTGACGGCATTCCTCTCGATCCGATTCAAATCGTTGTCCTCAAGATCAATGAGCGCCAGTCGAGGAAGTCTGTCAAAAGCACCTTCGCGTAGTTCGCGCACGCGATTTCTCGCCAGTCTCAACTCGAGTAGATTCGTCAAACTGCTCAAAGTTTCGGGCGCCAGCGCGGTCAGTTTGTTGTAACTCAAGTCCAAAATTTGAAGATTCTCCAAGCCGTGTAACGAGCTCGGCAGCTCGGGTAAGGAATTGTGCGATGCGTGTAGTTCGCCTAAATCTCTGCAAAAAAGTACGGTGAATTTGAAAGCAGGACACGCGCTAATTTCCCACCTGCCAATTCGTTCGCTGAAAGTTCATCAGCTGAAGAGCACGCGCGACGAGAACAATGGAATCATTTTGCAACCGTCAACCGGAGGAAAATTATCCAGCCTCGAGATGATTGTTTTACGAGTGATGAGTGTTCGAGAACATTCCAAGGAAGAATAATTTTCGATTGCGTAAATTTTGCCGCGAATGTTTTTTGTTTGGCGGAAATGATTTTGTTAGGTTTGGAAACTCGTCTCTTAGTTTTTACGATCGGCATTGTTCTTCATCGCAATTATCACGAACACGTAGCAGTGCCGTTATTACTTTTCGAAAATTGTTTTTAGCATTTCATCTGTAAAAAGACTTGGTGGCAATATAGATTTACCTAGTAAACGTGAAAATCGAATGTGGCAATTGCGATAAATTATTCCTACTAACGTCCAGCCGCTGCAATCTCTCGTTACTCTGAAAAGCGTCCGGTCGTATCATCTCCAGTTTATTGCCTCTCAAGCTCAAATCCAAGAGATTAGCCAACGACATGAAACACCTCCCATGCAGCAGTCCAATTCTGTTATACTTCAAATCCAATTGTTCCAGTCTTCCAAGACCCTCGAAACAACCATCTTCGACGACGGTGAGAGCATTGAAACCAAGATTGAGTTTACGTAAACTGGGTAAACCAGACAAAGCTGCTGGCGGGATATGTTCAATCCCGTTGGCGCTTAGATCTAGCGAACGAAGTAATGGTAGAGCGAGAGAGTCCGATGTGACGGTTAGAGGTAGGGCTACGATTCGGTTCATTGGTAAGTGCAGATGTTCGAGGTTGCGAGGCAAACCTAAATCACAAATTTATCGTTTACATGCGCAAGTGGCTAGACAAGCGAAATCGCTAGCGCGTTTACAAACATCGTACTCAACATTTGCACAAGCACAAGAAAAAAAATAAAGAAACGAATCCAAAGATGGAGTTACGACGTCGAGATGAAAGGTAATACAGACCAGGAATTATTTCGAGCAAGCGATTCCATCCGATGTCGAGCTCGTACAAATTGTTCAGATGCCGGAAAGTCATGGGATGAAGGACGGAGAGAGCATTTCCTGACATGTTCACGTGCTCCAAGGCTGGTGAGTTGAGAAAGGCGTCTGGATCAACGAGCGCTATTGTGTTTTCACTCATATCCAAGCGACGTAAACTTGGTAGATTAGCTAGGAGACGAGGCTCGATGTGTCGGAAAAAGTTGCCTGACAAGTCTAGCCCCTGTGGATTAGCAACAAATACAGTTAGGTTAAAATTCTATTGAATGAGAGATCAATCGCTGCCACCTTCAAAGCCGGCAGATCCCAAAAAGGTGAATCCTGCGAGTTGGTCAACGAATTATTCCTCAGTCTCAACTCCCGCAGAGCCGGCATCGCTGTGAACACTTCTCTATGCAAGTAACTCAGTCGATTATAATCCAAATGCAGCCTCTCCAAACTCGGGTGCCCTCTCAAAGCTCCGTACTGTATCTCCTGTATCTGGTTGTAACTCGCTTCGAGGAACTTCAGTCGTGGCAGAGCGTCGAGTATCGCGCGAATTTCCGATATATGAGCAATGTCGTTGTCCATCAGCCAAACTTCTTCGACGCCGATGCCCTCGAGCGCAGCGCGCGAAACGAATTCCGGATGAATGCGATGGATGCGATTATGGTTCAGGTTAAGAGTGCGGAGTAAGGGAACGCCACGAATTGCATCTACAATTAGAATAGGATTTGGTCGCTCGGAACACGATTACAAGTCTTCGATTACGATAAGCCTTACCCCTCGAGATCTCGGTAATACGATTATAACTCATCGACAATCTACTCAAACTCGGCATATCCCTGAAAGATCCACCATCGAGTCTCGCAATTTTATTCCTATCCAGTTGCAGCACCGACACTCCTGGTAAATCCATCAAGCTACTGCCAACCATTCTTGCATCTTGAATCTCATTGCCGGAAAAGGCGATCTCTTTGAGTTCCGGTAAATTGATGAGCGTAAGCGAGTGAATACGTTGTAATCCACAGTCGCTGATATTGAGTAACTGAAGTCTTGGCAAGTTACGCAGCAGACCACCCTCGAGCCGCGTTAAATTCGGACTACCAAAAATGTGTAACTGCTCGAGAGAAGGTAGATCGCGAAAGATGTGTGGTGAAAGCTCCATCAAATCAGGTGAGTTTATTTGAAGGTAACGCAGCTTCGATAAACCTGTAAATTCAAGTTTCATACTTAGACGGCATTTCCGCACATGCAATTAATTCTCACTAACCAGCAAAGCTCGGCAACCGCTTCATCAATTTACTCTGCACCGTGACAGCCTCCAGTCCCTGCAGATTCTGTAAGCTGTCGATTGGTAAGAATCTCAAATCAGGTTCAACGAGAAACAGCTCGAGCAGTGAATCGTGCAATCCTTCAAGCCATCCCGACGACACGAATTCGAGGCGATTGTTGCGCAGCATCAATCTTAAAACGCGCAGACTTGCGAACACGTGGCCGGGAAGACTGAGCAGGTTGTTATTCTCAAGGATGAGCTCGTCGACCGGGTGAGTGACGTAACGGCTTACTGATTTTAAACCTTCGAGGACTCGAGGAAGCTCGCTGTGACTACACCTGTACACCCGAGCCATGCGAATTAGGTAGCGAAGCGACGATCGATCAACGAATGATCTATTACCATATTTGAAACTCCATGTCGCGAGTCGAGCATCGACACGGCAGGATTTTCTCTTGCGGTGGGCAGCCATACTCTTGAGCTTGAACGCCACATGCTAGTAGCAGTAGAGCTATGGTAGGAAGGCTCACAGCCTCCGGTGGCTTACCCATCGCGCATCACTTTGCTATTTTAGCGCTGTTTACTTTATTCCTTGTGTTGCCTTCAGAAAAGCTATCGCTGCTACATTTCTTGCGCATTTACAGAAATATAATCGTCCCTCGATTGGATGACAGTTGCTAAAGTAGGTCTGTACTAATCCAAGTTAAAGGGCATTATGTGAAAAAAGTTACAATGTCGATGATTTATATATGTTAGATCGACCCAACAAGCCGTGCATAATTATTGTGCATGACAATTCAGCGCTTCGTGAAACCAAAAGTTCAACATTTAATTTAAGCTTCGTGCCGAAAATTGGCAAGCATAGTATCCTTGCTCTCACATCCTTTGCGAGTGCCTGGTTGTCACGCAACGACGCTCGCCCAAAATAAACCTGTGTTTCACGTCGACGCCGCGTTGCAACAGGTGTGCGGCAAGGGTTTTTATTGTGGAGCCAATCCTGATTCCTCGTTCTAGTCCTTGCGCTTACCTTCCTCTCTTTCTAGCTCTATTTTTTCATTTATATCGAAAATGCACTTCATAAGGATTTTTTCAGATTGCGAGCATGAAGCGAAATCACAAGTGTCTTTTGAATTGCTCAGAACGAGATATAAATCAGAGTGTGATGATTATGCTCAATGATTTCGAATTTGAATAACGGCTGTGTCAAATTGCAACGAATCAGATTAGAATTAGAATACAGTTTCCACTGAAGGTCTAGGATGTTTGATATATAAAATATAAGTGCATTTCTATTTGTCAACCAATTACGAAACCTAATATGCCTAAAGAGAAATAATTATAAGAAATAGTTTGAGAATACAATTGGCTGATCTTAAATGACACAGAAATCCACGAAGTAGTAAATATGAATTGGCGATGTTCATGTGAAGTTATTTATAATTGAATTTGTAATACAAAAAAAATATCGTAGAAATTAAAAATATTTGTCGCTGACATAATTTCTGTTTGTAAGAAATTGATCTAGAGCATCTAAAGCTTCGAGTCATTTCATTGATAAGCACCGAACAACTCAAATTTCTGAATTAATTGCAATAATAGAAGTTTTCTAGAAGAAAAATTTGTCCAAGTCCTAATGTTCGGTTCATTGCATTCTTCGTAATGAAGCCGTCATAGAAATGCTCATCGATGGAGCGCGTATAAAAATGATTGGACTGATCCGAAGAGCGCTAAAAAATAGGCAAACAACTCAGCAATGATCGCGCTTAAAAAAACGCGAAGAAGCATGTACGTACGAAGAAGGGCCATGGTCACGATGCGAGACACGCACAGTGGCGGTCACGCTCGCAGTAGCGACGAAATGGCTCGGCAGCGAAGAAGCCGCACAACCGTAAGCCAACCGCTATGACAATCGGCCGCTGTCCGCTATATAATTACAGTCGCTGCTCGCGACTCTCGGCCGTTCTCGCAGACACGTACGCGTGCGCAGGCTCGTTTGACTTGTCGCCGAGCTAGGTGTGGACTTTTTATTACCGCCTGTCAATGGCTATTCGTTAAGCTTGTCGAGCGCGCTCCGATAACCTGTAATCAAGGTTCGTTAACGGCGAAAGTGCTGGGCGCTTTTATTACGCATTGGTGGCTCTTAGCGCACTGTTTTGTGGAATTTCTATGACGACGGCGATGCGCGATCAAACGCCTGCCAGACTCCAGTTTCGACCTTTCAAAGTTCTCGCGGCATTGTTTAATGCAGAGTAAAACGTTACGAATGTAAGCATCAGGAAATGAAAGTCGAAAGCGCAACCGGAAATAGACGATTCGACTAATTTCATTGTGATTGCCTTTATTTTTCACACTTTAAAAGCACGCTATCTAGACCAACTTTAACGTAATGCCATTGAAAGGTATTTGATGAACAGGTTTTTCAAACGTTTTCTCATAGACTCTTTCGATAGTGAAAATGTATGAAAATCACCAATACCTATCCGTTGATCCGTCTAACAGTCACTCAACTTGCACAACTTGCTAAGTACGTCTCATAAAGAAGTATAAATAAGCTATCAAATTGTAAAACAGTATGGCTCCATTCTCAGTCAAGCAAACATCCTCATCGAGTCTTTGTAATTAGTATCGAACAAGTAGTTGTATCGGATTTATTAATCTCTGATACGAATCTTATAAACAATGGAGACGTTATTTTTATCTTGCACTCGTAACGAAACATGGATCAACAGTTTTCAAGAGAGAAACGCAAGCGTACGAAGAAACAGTTAATTATAAAAAGAAAAAGAAAGTTCTAAAGTCAACGACACCGTTTGATGTTTATCTGATCATGCCTTGGAAGCTTATCAACGCAAATTCTCGCGTCGCAGCATCCCACTTGCGAAAACTTCCTCCCGTCTCCCTCCATTTTTGCGAAATAAGTTTCCTTCGTGGCGGAAGCAAGCGGCCAAAGAGAGCTCGCTCGTTTCATAACGCGCCCTCGAAAGCCGAGAACGCGAGACGAGTTTGTTGAATCCATCGGTTCTCCTTTTTTTTTCACCACGGCGGCTTACTTAAACGTACCGATTGCGTGGTCTGTGCATGCGTTTGTTTCGGAAGATAAATGAGATACGCGAATCATGCGTTTTGTTTTTCCAAGATTGTACCAATGGAAGCTTTGAGTGGATTGTTTATGCGAATTAGTAGGCACAACAATTTATTTGGATAGTAGACATTGAACATTTTTTCGTGTCATTAAGTAGTTTTCAACGCAGTCATCATTACTGATAAAAATACTGACAGTAAGCGTGATAATATATTTTTTCATTAACTAAACCCTAGATAGTGACGTGTCATTACAACTTATAATCAAATTCGCCACTGCATATAATATAAGTTAATGACATTATTGAGAAAAGCGCTTAAATAATAGTTTATGTAATTGTGTTGTACTAATGCTTCGTCGGCATAAACCTCGTATAAACATTGAAAATGTACATTTAAAAACAGAAAGTGAAAGGATATAAGGCCTTTGCGATGATCTTCGCAATGCGAAAAAGAGAAAGAAATGTTTTCAGCGAACCTAATTTTAATTAAACTATTAACAATTAGAAATCACTGATACAACAGCGCAACGACCTTTTTCATAACAATAAACTCGAGTGCACATGGTGCACCGTCATCATCTTATAACGCCGAGGCTCAGAAGAGAAGATTCACGCGAAGAAAGCCGCTGAAAAAATTAGTAGCCGAGACTATCGGGGCGCGCATCTACGAGAGAGAAACAAGTGAAAGTGACTCGTGTGCCGCGCGCCGCTCGTTCACCCCGCGACCATGCATGTTGCGGTGAAATTTTTTAAGCGTTTAGTTTTCGACAATCCATCCACTTTTGTTCTTCGACTATATGGCAATTTTTGATGTTGAGTATTTCGTTGATGTTGTTAAGTTTCTTAAGATGGTAAATGACGCCTTAAGTCAGCGACAAAGCTCACAAAAAGACATCTGATTCTCAACATCTCACTTGCGAGGCTCGGATTGAATAAGTAGCGCCGAAAACAATAACGTGATGAGTTTGACAATCCAATTGAAGTTCAAGAATAACAAAATATGTTAAAACTTGCAGTCGACATCAAATTCATACATAAGCAAGTTGACGAGTTTAGCCAATAGATGGAAAATATAAAAAGATCAACGAAGAAGCAAATAAATTATATTGTATGAATAAATTAACAACAAGTGAACAATAATATTTTGATTATCCATTCAGTATTAATAATTATTATTATTACTTATTGACTTTGTTTGAAGTTTGGAACAATTGGATACATTGGACACATTGACAGGAAAGCCCAAATAAATATCTAAAAAACCTAACTATTAGATAATAAATTGTGCTCGATTAAAAATAACCAATAGATTGAAGTTAAAATGCTGAAAGAAATCATTGCTTATTAGCAAGGCTCATCGATCAAACATACAGAAGCTCTTTTTCGTACGCGGCAAATCTTTCAAATACCAGCCGAATGGGTAGATGAAAATTAAAAACTGCAGAGGAGTATTGGGTTAGTGTGTCTAATACGAGCATAAAGTGGCGTAACAATCAGTGCATAATTATAAAAGAAAGTACTATATACATACAAAGTAGGTACCCGCAAGCGAGCGTGCGGCTTGCTAAACTCGGCCCCTATCTACTATCTTAATGTCCATTGAGCATGAAGAGGAGCACTTACGTGCTATTTTCTTCCTTCTTCCGTGACTTCGACTCCTTTTTTATTTTATTCGATCGCAAATATTCAGTTGCAAAACAAGGATGACACCGCACGTGCAATGTTCACTGTATCAAACGGAACCTCGAATCAGAAAGCGTCACACCCTCGACGGCAAACGGATCGAGAGTGAAGTACACTATCGGTTCTCACCAATTCACGAGGCAAACCGAGCGTGAAAATACCGGATGTATGGTATACTTTTATGCAGAAAACGAACGTAACGACGAACGCAAACGAGCGTTTCTACAATCTTATTTTTTTATTTACTTATTAATGTTGGCTCGTTACTTACTCGTATCGCGGCAAAAGTTAGACTGAGCGCGAAATAAGCAAACGTAGACGGTGACTATGGTGGTGGGGTCTTCTTCATTCGGGCTTTTTCCCTCTCTTTCTTTCTCGAGCAGAGGGTGCAGTCAGCGGAACGCTCACGCTCGTCGCCTCCCCGACCGTATGCTCACCGTCTGAGCACGTGTCGAAATGTACCGACTGCTTTATTTCTAGAAGATATTTTTCATTTAGTCATCGTTTTTGTTATTGTTTTGCAATCATTGCAATAGAAAATGTTAATCGCTTTGGGAATTTATAGCATCAATCGGATAAATCTTGAAAGATTATTGAGTATCACCATTGGACGTTTGAGCGTAACGTCCTCCCCTGAATAACCACTTTATTATTTAGCGAAATGATCAGTAAACGTATAGAGTTTACGCAAGCAACGACAAGAAAAAATTTTATGCCATAAAGAAAACTTTGTGGTTAACAAGCGTGAAGCGTAAGGTGACGACGCGATTGTATATGCGTACGCTTATTAAAAACTGCCTCGCCGCGCGCCTACATTTTACATCGAATGAACACAAGGGAATAGACTCTTTTCCCTGTACTTTATTAATTTAATTATAAAAAAGTCTCCCAATTTCTGATGTCGCCTGAAATTTGGTTGCCTCACCGATCGGCTGTGAATATTTATAGTTTGGCAGTTTCGGCGCACAAAACAAAATTGATCTGCACAAAAGAATAGAAAAAATGATAATAATTATCAACATGATAAAATCGCTTAGCGCTGCTTGGTCGGCCGGCTACCCTACAATACTCTACTTATAAATGTATAATACAATTATTTCATCTGTATTAAACTACAAACTTTGTTTTTGATTACACTTTATCGTTATTCAATTACTTATTGGAGTGCTTTTTCAATGATCTTGTAAATATTCATATAAGCCAAAAAAAACTTATCTCTTGAAAATTTTTTAAAAATAACTTCATTTTACTTGCATACAGTCGTTACGTATAAAATTGTTAATTACTGTTCATATAGTTATTTGAATTAGCTATCAACTGCTAATGGTATCTCATAACCATTCACAATCGCGCTGAATGCAAGTGTTTCGCGTGGCTGAATACCTGAAATCTGCTCATTACCGAAGATCTTTGACTTTTATAGAAATTGTTGCCAGATAAGTAGTGTGATTATTTAATTACAAATTTTTTTTCATAAAATGTATAGTAGTAAATGCAGCAGTTTACCGGATATAATCGTAATATAAAAAATATTATTTTTAAATTTCGCTTAAAATAAAAGATTTGTGACCATTGATAAATTTTATCTCGTATTTGGTGACATTCTAACTTTTTTAATTTGAAATTACGTAATACTTAAACGAGTATTCGCTCTTAGACTTATGAAAGTTCAGGCAATTTATACTATATGCACGCATTCATCAGATCATGGAGAGGATGAAGCAAAACAACACTGAATCAGAAACGCAGTGTCTCAAGATATTATTTTTTCATTATGTAGACATAAGAACATATTCAAGAAAATAATAATATAACACGTTAGACTGACAGTGAATTCAATAGATCAATCCACACTTCTTAGTAAAGGCAAACCTGTTTTACAAGATATCACAATTGGCATTGTAGCGTCGTTCATATAACTTGTACTTGAAATTCAAAATAGTACAACGATATGAAAGTGATGCCAAGGCTATGGAAATATTCTCTTATATCAACAAATAATAAGATACATTTATTCTTATCAAATTTTGTTTCTTTTATGCTCCAAAAAGATCTTGACGAGATTGCTAAGTATCTTTATAAGTAAAATTCAACAATAGTATTTAAAAGTAGCTTCAACTTCCTTAGCATTTATTCATTACTTATACTCTGTATTTCCTACGTTAATCTGTGATTAATTCATTCGGTGGTTCGTGAAGTCAAATCAAATAAAATGTGTTAAATCGGTAAATCTTGTCGACAAAACTTTACCAACAATCGAAATTCATTCAACTAACCTATCGATTTTACGTATATTTCATGTCAATTTCGCAAAACACACAAGACGAAATTAGAAAAAAACAAACTCAAGCGGTTCTATACCGGGAAGTTGTATATAAGGATAGATGTATATAAGCGAGCCAAAACATTTCATTATCTTTTTTTCGTCTCGCTTATAATCAGTTCAAAAATTCCAAAAAAAAAACATTACGTCATTCTATTCCTGTCCATTTCATATTAGCGATTTTTTTAGCACGTGCCTGAGCTGAAAAAAGTGCAGTCAACCGGTTTCGTCGATCTCTCGTATGATTTTCGTTGGACCAATGATAATGATTTCTCGTGTACCAAGCCCCCAAGAGAGCGTTGGATCTTCTATCTTACACTAGCTAGTCAGCAAAGCATTGATCCATCTGATCGAGTAGACAAGGTCAAAAACCGGTCTTTCATATGATGACACGAACGTCGTATTTCAATCCATGAATTTCATTCGCTGATAAAATGATTTTTATCAGCGTTGAAAGTTGTTTATTAAATGGTTATTGAATGATTTGATGGAATATTTTCTGATCTTAATATGCAAAATTTTCAATTAAAAAGTAACATCTATGCATCAAATTCATTTTTCTATCCCTAAAAAATAAAATGTTTAACGGGCTGTCATAAACGTTGTACAGTAATTTTTTGGCGATATGCAAATGTTCTAAATCTTGAAAAATGAATTTCTTAAGCTCAACGGACAGCTGCTTAATAAGTCTGGAAAATTCGCAATCAAGCAAGCGAACAACTGACCAGCACTTGCGGGAAATTCAAAATAGTCTATGGCAAGTGACAGAGCTCTAACGAAAAAAGGAGTTGAATCAGCCGAAGCAGAAAACTCGTAGAACAACATGCAGTCTAGCGTCAATCTCCGCGTGAAGGTATTTTTTCTCTCGGTGGTTCAGGTGGACGCCCAACAGGTTTTTATTTCATCGAAATGTGTACGACGCTCGCTCGCGTCTAATCTCGCATAATTACGGCTCTCCTAGCGCTCGCAGGCTCTCGCCGCTTGTTTATGCCGTTCGAAGCGATCAGTTCTATTCTAGTAGTGGGCCGATCGTCATCTCCTGGGATCTGTTTTTCATTTATTGTCATTGTTATTCCGAGTCGACGCAAGAAGACGAGCAACTATCATCAGCTTGGAGTATCGACAACGAGGCAGGCAAAACTACCAATTTACACGGGATAACTATTTTATGTTTTTCTCGTGGTCGTCAATTACGACGTGTGTATATGTATCAACATCGTTATATGCATAGTTCTTAGAACGCGCGTTGCGCTAAAAATCATAACAAATTATAGTGGAAACGAGCGGCAGTTTCTGTCCAGTGGTCGGTGAAAGGCCATCAATTTTCACGGAAAACTTGCGCTGAACAAGTGTTTATATTATTGTGATAATTATTGCATATAATCGAAGATGCTTGGGCGCAAAGTTCTTAGGACGTTATATCACGGACTGTCAAATAATTTTTGGCGACAGCTGAATTCCAGTGCTGTGCTGAGTGTCGAGGCGACTGATACGACGCAGAGTCGACACTTCGACAGGAATGCCAAACTGCCGAGGATATTAATAACGGGTATCACGAGCGAGTGTCGGAAAAATTTTCGCATTTGAGATGTCGAACATATAACGCTTGTCTTGCAGGTGGTCTCGGTCAGCTGGGCACAGAGTGCGCCAAACTTCTCCGCAAGAACTACGGCGACGAAAATGTCGTGCTGTCGGACATAATCAAGCCAACGGACGACGCTTTGATGAATGGGCCTTTCATCTTCGCTGATATTCTTGATTTCAAAGGTCTTCAAAAAATTGTCGTCAATTATAGAATAGATTGGCTCATTCACTTCAGCGCGTTGCTCAGCGCCGTTGGAGAACAGAATGTTCCCCTCGCTGTGAGAGTGAATATCGAAGGTATTGAATCTAGTTTCGTCAAATCGATCTATACTTTATAACGCGCATTTATTTGTAAATAACGAATAATTAAATAATTAAAATACATAAAAATATTATCACGCCTGGCGCAGCTTCAATCAGAAAGTAATGGTGAAAGCGAGCGATATAATGACTTATGATGAGACACCACATGCCGCTTAATTATATCTTTCCGTCGCAATTATTTCTGCCTTCCTCGTCGCTATTACTGCACACACTTTTATGTTATTTGCATTGCGTATCAACGTAATTTTCGTTTTCACTCTCGCTTCGACACGCGAGACGCCGTTGCACCATCATGCGGTACTTTTGCAAATACTTTTTTAAACCATTCCTTGTTGAAGGTTTGCACAACGTGATTGAGTTGGCAAAACAATACAATTTACGTATATTCGTGCCATCGACGATCGGTGCGTTTGGGCCTGATTCTCCGCGCAATCCTACGCCCAATGTAACTATTCAAAGACCGAGGACTATTTATGGAGTAAGCAAAGTACACGCTGAGCTGCTTGGCGAGTACTATCATCACAAGTTTGGTCTTGATTTTCGTTGTCTTCGCTTTCCTGGTGTTATCAGCAGTGATCCACCTGGTGGTGGCACGACTGGTGAGTTTTTCTCTTAGATTAATTATAGTTGTTAATAAAAATTCAGACAAACAGGTATGCGATTATGTTTTTTTTAAAGTAGAAACCTCTAATCAGTAGTATAAGTAGGTTTGGTCAGACGAGCGTTCACTCTTGAAAATAAATTTTGAATTGGTATAAAAAAATGCCGTCTTGCTGCGAAAAGGCTGAAACGCATTACAAAATTTACGAAATGAGAGTCCCTTGCAAATCGATGTTGCTTGCTCAGGAAGAAACAAATCTCGCACGTGCAGTTTTTGTGGGAAGTAGAGCGTAATAGGCGCCCAAATTAATTGTGTAATAGGGTACAGGCTCTCCGGTAATTGTAGAAGCAATACATAGCTGATCTCGTGACCTTTACCTTCTCATCCGTAAACTCCAAGATTTTTTATTATTTTTTAGATTATGCAGTAGCAGTCTTTCATGAAGGATTGTTGCATAAACGTTACGAATGTTACTTGGAGCCACATACACGCCTGCCGATGATGTACATTGACGACTGTCTCTCGGCGTTATTCCAATTTCTCAATGCACCGAGTGAAAGACTTCAGAGACGCGTTTATAATGTAACTGCTATGAGTTTCACGCCTGAAGAATTGTTTGAAGAGATTAAGAAGCATCTGCCGGACTTGCAAGTTTCTTATAATCCTGACAGTCGACAGAACATAGGTAAGTTAATGATTTTTTCAGATTACATTCTCGTTTTTAAATATAGAAATAACAAGAATTTTGGTTTTCATTTGAAGCAAACACATGGCCACAAGTGTTTGACGACAGCGAGGCACGCAGAGATTGGGGCTGGAAGCACGAATATGATCTTGATAAACTCGTTATAAGCATGATCCAAGACGTCAGCGAAAACTTCATTCCAAAATATCAACGTTTATCCGAAGTTAGCAGTTACATGTAGATCACATATGTTGAATAAAAGGGAAAAAAACAAATGTCTCCATTATCTTATTCTTAGCACTCTCCATTTTTTTAAACAAAAAATTTTTTTACACACGTGTGTAACCTGAGATGATTGTTTGATTATTATTGTTTTCACAACGGGTTGGCTCTAAAATTGGATATAAAAAATTTTTTGTTCAAATGTCTCCATATTGAAGGCGTGTTTAAACACGACTTCAATATATTTAATATTGTTTATCATTATAATAACAGATATTGAAAAATATATTTCGAACCTTACAATAAACAAAGTTACATTTAATAGAAATTGTAATCAATCGCTATCATACAGTAACGCTTCAATATTGATAGGAGTCATTTTCTCCATCTTCCTATCCACCGCCGTCTTCACTTTCTTCTCGCTTGTTCTCGACGGCGTAACATTATTTGTGTTCAGATTGTTTTCCACTTTTACTCTAATTGGTTGTGAAATTTTCTCGGGGGATAATGTCTGCTGCGTGTTTTCTACTTTTATTCCGTCTTCTGTAAAATAATTTTATAAAATGACGTTGGTTTTTCATTGCAACTGTTCCTAAAGTTATTTTTATATTATTCTAAACTTAGTTTTGAAAGCTTCTTTTATTTAATTAAAAGTGTTATAAAAATAAGCAAATACTTTATGATTTCGTTCATTAAAAGCCAAATCAGTCAATTTTAAATGTAAAGTTAGAATTATTTTTTCATTACCTGACTGTTTGTTTTCATCCTTGGTCAATATTTCACGACTTTGGATGTAGTATCCATTTGGATGTAGGAACATTTTTCCAGGTGGTTGTTTGTGAACACTTTCAAAGAACTTAGTACAAGCCAGATTGTAGTGTTGGTCAGAAGCAAGTTCATTAATGATTGTAATATCTGTAATAAATAAATGAATTATTTTTATTAATTGAACATCATAGAAGATATAATTTTTTAGAATATTTTTTACCTGCAGGTGATATTTTACATTCATTCAGTTTTTTAGTCAAATGTTCAGTATCCATATGTTTGAATGGACATCCATGAACTTCACCAGCTTGAATGGGATCATTAATTAACTTTGGACAAGCATGTGGCCTATAATCCACACGTCTACCCGCTTTACCATAATTATACCGAATATGGTAAAGGTATTCCTTGTTGAATTTCTCTTCTGTCATACCTTCTCTCTTCGTCATCTCAGTTTTCCAAAATTCTATAGAATCATCAAGACTAACGTTAATACCTTTGAGGAACAAACCATACTGCAAACGAGCTGTATTTTTCAAATGGTGGTTGGCAATCAGATGATCATGCATAATTCTCATACAAAGTGGGTATGACGTTTTAGACAACTGAAAGTTGAAAAATTATATTAGAAAACGTAATAAATTTGCATTACCTTTCAGATTGAAAGTACTTACTTCATTCAGCTTAGATATTGGAGTATATTCTGTTGTCCAAATGACTTTAGCCATTTCTGAAAAGCAATCAGGTAGACTCCTCAGAAACGCTTGAATTCTTTCGTCATTGAATTGATTCAATATATATTTTTTTGCTCTCTAAAAAAAAATTTGTTTTTTTAATGAAGCCTATGTAATGTACATTTTTAAATAGATATTATTTTTTACTTACATTCATTTCAACTTGTAAATAATGTCTAAAATGAGAAACAAAAACAGATTGAAGCTCAGTTTGAGGCACATAAGCAATTCCTTTGTGCACATATACTTTTCTATCAGATACCAAATCAAAAATTTCATAGAAAGGCAATTCATAGAAATCTAAGTTAATAAAATCTACATCTTTGGCAGTTATAGTTGAAATGCTTAAATTATCTCGGTTTGCTTCTTTGAATTCCTGTGATACCTAAAACAGAACATCTGTATTTATTTTTTCAATAGCAAACATATTATATCAATTTATATATCTGACTCACTTGAGCATAGTTGAATCCACTGTGAACTAGAAATTGATTAACACCTTCTTTGTTTAATGAATTAAATCTCATTTTAAAAAGTTCCACTTCTAAATTCATGAAGTACTGTTGAAGGTTGTCCTTTAAACAGTATGCTAATCTTAAAATAAAGTGTGCTATGTGGTCTTTTTTCCTTGCTTCCAGGTCTGCATCATTATGATTGGCACAACCACTTGCATTTACAAGTTTAGCATAGGTAAAAAATTCTTCTTTTTTCAATGCATTTATAAATGCTGTTTTAAGATCATCTGGTGTTTTGTGATGTTGAGCTATTGTAGCTTCTAGCAATTGAAGAACTACAACACAGTTAAACAATTATAATTAAAATAAAATTTCTATAAAGAAATTTATTTTCTAACATACCTTTTTGCCTTTCAATGGCATAATTTTGAAAATCAACAAACAACAAATCACCTTTTGGTGGCACTTGATATGTATTTAAGTCATGAGGGTACTGTTCTCGAAGAGGATTCACCTCCAGCTTCGCGATTCGACTTCTTTTCGGTGTAAAATCCATTGTTCAATGTTTATTTAATCTTAAGAAACTAAGAATACTGTAAATTTTTAACAACAGCCAAAAGAGTATTATTTATCACTATTATTACAAAATGTATAAACTTCGACACAAGCACTACCTTTTATTTTTACTTTTTTATTTTGATAAAAACATTATCCATTTCGCGAACTAATTTTCTCTGTTTTATGCCGTTGCACAGATATTGCTACAGAGTACAGACATTCTGTGACGATTTCGCGCGCGTTTTCTGTTTCCATTGCGCGATCACGTAGTGAAGATAGGTCTGTTCATTTAGAATTTCTAAAAATAGATGTAAAATGTCTCCATATGTCAAACTAACCTTATGATAATCTATTATTCTATTGCAGCATTGCCAATGGAAAAGTTTTTTTCAGGGTCCCTAATAATTATTCTATGTATTACCGTAATGCAATAATTTCTAGGAACCTTAAGAAAAATGTTTTCAGTGGCAACGCTGGTCGCTGTTCTCTTGACTCCTAGACTCCTCCCTCCATTTTCGAACTATAATGTTGGTAGCATTACTTACATACGGTTTTAATTTTCTGCGACAGTTGGAAGAGAAGTTGACTATGTTCAACGTTTGTCATTAACGTTTATTGACAAGTAAGCAAGGATTAAATTAAGTAATAATAATTGAATATCCAAATTAATTGCGTCAATCGGCAGATCATCTATCTATCAAGTCAAAGTAAATTTTAATAATAATGGAAAAGTCTATTTGGAATTGATTAAAATAAGACAATTATACTCGTAAACCGGAATAATCGTTGAAGATTTGTAATAATATTGATATTATATTTATTATTGTGTATAACGATTTAAAAATGTTATTTAACTTATTATTTGAAATGTTGGTTATAATTTTTCCGTGAAGTGTGGAAATTCACATCAAAATATAAATTGGAATACAATAACAATAGACGTAATTTTTATTTCTAGATAATTTTATGCTCTTAAATATTGACAATAACTGTTCTTATCATTATGGCTACTCAAATATTTAGTATGCCTAATCAAATACCATCACAGTTTATCAAAGACGTTGAAGAGTGTATAGCAACTATGAAAGATCATGTAGACAATCGAGGTGGCAAGTATGTCTTATTTTTAAATAAATTTTTTAACCAAACGTCAACATGAAATTGTTTTTATTTAGAATTTGATATGTAACACAGCTATCAATGGAATCTTAATGACTTTGATGTTGGTGCACCTCTTGGAAGAGGTAAATTTGGACGTGTATACTTGGCAAGAGAAAAGTCTACTCATTATATAGTAGCTCTGAAAACACTTTTCAAAAAAGAACTGATAAAATCTCGTGTTGAAAAGCAAGTTCTTCGTGAGATAGAAATCCAATCACATTTGAGACATCCTCATATACTACAGCTGCTTACATATTTTCATGATGAAAAGAGAATCTATTTGGTACTAGAATTTGCAGCAAAGGGTGAACTGTACAAGGAATTAAAACGACAGCCGAAAGAAAGATTTAGTCAACACTTGTCTGCCAAATATATCTATCAAGTAGCAGATGCTCTAGATTACTGTCACAAAAATAATGTCATTCATCGTGACATCAAACCAGAAAATTTGCTTTTAACATACAATGGTGATATCAAATTAGCGGACTTTGGATGGTCTGTTCATGCTCCTTCCACAAAACGTAATACAATGTGTGGCACATTGGATTATCTTCCTCCAGAAATGGTTGTTGGTCAAAAATATGATATCTATGTTGATCACTGGTGCCTTGGAATTTTATGTTATGAATTTTTGGTTGGGCGCCCACCTTTCCTGAGTGACACTTCTGATGAAACTTATCGGAAAATCAGAAAGGTTGAGATTCCATGGCCACCACAGATCACTCCTGGAGCCAAAGATCTGATTTCACAGTTGATCAAACGCAATAGTTTGGAAAGAATACCACTGAAGGATGTCAAGAAACATTACTGGATTATTGAGCACAAAGACAAACCTTAATAAGTGTATATACTAAAATAATATGTTTCAATTTGTATTTAAAATCCATTAGATGCGTTTATATATAAATGTCGAATGTATTTTTATCATTTTCTATTTTAAGCTTTAATAAGCATATTAAATGATTTTTTCTCATAACTGTTAATATCTTCCATTCAAATCTGACCACTTCCCTTATCATTTCGATCACGTGACCTGCCCATGCGCATGACTGCCATTTTTTTCTTTCAATACTCTCGTCGCTCGATTCTGCGTTCGACAAGGCATCGGTAGTTTCACGCAAGTTACTCTTACGGATTGACCATGGCTGCGATACTTGGAAGGGTCTTTGTTTACGGTGGCAAAGGAGCTTTAGGTTCGGTTTGTGTTAGTACTTTCAAGACTAAAAACTGGGTAAGTTATTTTATATTAAAATAGAGCTTTTAAGTTGAAGCCGGTTTATCTCTATAGATAGCGTACATATCCGGCTTGATTCATTTGTTTTTTTCTTTTGGAGGTGCAGTCGAAACACTTGTTGCTCAGTATTACTTTGGATAAAACCTGCGAGCATATGGTGAAATAAGGCAATTCATGATTAGAGTAATTGATTTTAGAATGAAATGTTTGTATCCTGAGATATTGATATAATATTCTTAAGCTTATGTGATAAAATTAATTTTTTATAAAGTTTTACTCCAAAATTATTTATCTTACGTAATTCACTTATATTATTATTGTCTATTTTTCTCGACTTATTTCACTATTAGTGAACTATCTTACGAAGTATTGTGAAATAATTATAACTAGAAAATATATTTATTACCTTTACCATAGTTATTGCAATGAGTTTTATTCATTTTTCAGTTAAATTTCTTGTCAACATCAGTCATTAAAAAAATCCAAGGACGCTTGGTTTTCCTTCAAACAGTTACTTTCTAATTGCAGCATTTTCTCATATATTCATGCAGTAGTTATGTGTTTCATTTTGTCCATCTAATAGTGAATAAATGTTAGATCTGCAAATTCCTACTCAAATTAATTTGAAAATTATACGCCAGTTAAATTAAGATAAAGAACAATATTTTTAAATAGATTTTAATTCAATGATTCTATTATTTAATATTATTCTTTTCTTAAAATTATTAAGAGATAACCTTTAGCTAAAGATCATTTTCTCAGCAGAAGTAGTTAATAAGTGAATATTTGTATAACAATTAGTCTTACAAACTAATATTTGAAAGTAAAAAGTTAACAATATTATGTATTCAATTAAGAAATAGTATTGAAATGAGAATTTACATTGCAAATTTATTGATATCATTCTTTTTTAATTTCAGTGGGTTGGTTCAATTGATATGAAACCAAATGGAGCTGCAGATGCAAATGTTATTGTAAACGTTGAACAAAATTGGATAGACCAGGTGTGTAATTTAAATTTAATTTATAATGAGTAAATTCGTCACTTATAGATGAAACATAATTTCAGGAAAATAGTATATTGAACCAAATACAAGAAATTCTTGGAGAGAACAAGCTTGATGGAGTTATTTGTGTTGCTGGTGGATGGGCAGGTGGAAATGCTGCTAACAAAGATTTTATTAAAAACAGCGATATGATGTGGAAGCAGAGTGTTTGGAGTTCAGTCATTGCTGCTAAAATTGCTTCTCAGTATTTGAAGGAAGATGGATTCCTTTCTTTAACTGGTGCTAAGCCTGCTTTGGAAGGAACTCCAGGTAAGAATTTGGTATTACAAATTATATTAAACCTTTGCTATTCTATAAAAAACTAACTTTGTATTATAGGAATGATTGGCTATGGAATGGCCAAAGCTGCAGTGCATCAGCTGACTAAATCATTGGCAGCTGATGGTGGTGGTCTGCCATCTCAATCACTTGTTGCCACAATTTTGCCAGTTACATTGGACACACCAATGAATCGTAAATGGATGCCGAAAGCCGATACTTCTACTTGGACTCCTCTCGAATTTGTTGCAGAGTAATTCAAAAATATACTACATAAGTTTAAAATTGTATAGGCAATTAATCTAATGTTAAATTATAATTTTTATTTACAGAATATTCTGGAAGTGGTCTCAAAACCAAGAAAGACCAGCCAATGGTAGCTTGCTCCAATTGATTACAAAGTATAACAAAACCGAAATAATTTCAGTATAAGATGCTACACATTAACCATAGGATTAAAATGAAAGTAATAGAGCAACTTGACAATATTCATTTACAAAATTGTATTTTTATTATTGTATAAATATTTTTTGTAATTTACTTAATGTTTATATGCGAATAAGAAAATAATTCTTTTTTCGTATATGTTATAACATACTATAACATGACTAACGATATAAAAAACGCATTTACAGATTATTACGTTCCTGTGCAAGATACGATCTGATACTTAAGTAATAAATATTACTGTTACAAATTAATTTTTGAATATAATTATAGAATTCAAATAATAAAGTTTCATTTTATTTTTAATAATTAAATAAGCTAATTTGTTCTTATACACCTATAATTTGTACACCTCCTAATATCTAAAAATGCTTAGAATACTGAGCTTACATAGTTTCGGTGATTGCACCTTCTTTGTATTCTGTAAATGTCTTAAGTTCTAGATGATTTGATCCTTTTAGCTGGTGGTACTGGAGATGGAGATATAGATATACTATCATTTTTCTTTCGAGAATTTTTCCTTACTAAAATCGTATTGGTACAGAGATTATAAAATATCCGTTGAGTAAATAATATATAATTTTTCAAAATATGACAAAAATTATAATACCTAGGATACTAGATTCTATTGGCGTTGGAGTCTTAACAGCGGTAATTCTTGTAGACTTTCGAGGTGTTTTATTTTCTTCGTCTTCCGATTCACTATTCATTGTGGCATTATTTATCGAGTCTGATTTTTTTTTTCTCGCTATAAGAAAACATATGGTTACCCAAAAGAAATTACGTATAGGTTTAAAAATAAATTTGACTTACAACTTCTTCTGATACTGTTATTTTTAGAAGTCGATCTATTCTCAAAATCTTCATCATTTTCATCCTCGTCTTCCTCTTCTTCCTCCCTTCTGCCTCGCGTTTTCCTCGTTGCTTTACTGGTTTTTGGTACTGGCCTTAGAGGTGGAGGCATTGCCTCGCTGTCTGTGAGTGGCTTCGACGAACCACCATTCTGTTCATTATTATCGGTATTATCTAACAATTCTTTGATTTTTTCTTCCAACTCAGCGCAGGCTACTTTAGCGTCTGGTCGCCGTTTCGCTTGATCAATGATAGAATTCAGGGCTTTTTGCACATCGTCATTATGAATTTTTTCCTTCAGAAGAGGAAGGTCTTTTGTTAGAATTTTAATACCTAGAAATTAAACGTGAAAATATTAATTACCTGGGTATGAAAGTAATTTCATCGTAAAATTGTATCGCAATGAAATATTTACCTTTTGCACTGAACTTCAATAATGAAAGGCAGTATGAAAGATCGCGCCACTGCCTCTCTGAAGTTGCCAATTTAAATCGACTGCACAATTTTTCAATTATACTATCGACCTGCCTATCCTTTTGCAGTAGTCCAAGGATGTACCTAAAAAATCAATCGTAGTTTATTAGTTTTTACGACTTTATAAACTAAAATCTAAAAAGACTTAAAGAATCTTACTTAATGATTTCCTGGAAATTCTTCTCTGACAGCTTTAATTCAGAATCCGAAAGACAAGATAGAATGTCAGGCATAACGTTATAAAGAGCGTGTCCTTTATGTGATAAATCTTTGAACAATTGCTTTGTATCGCTACGAATTATTTCGTTATCATCAACTAAGCAAAGCGCGAGTTGTGCTACTTGTCCTTTCACGCGAATCATTTCACCCAAAATTAAGTTGGATAACATTCTGACGCAGGTGCTTCTGACCGTTAGATTATCGTCTTTGAGGCTGTAAATAAAAGTTATAAATGCAATTTATATAGAGACGTTACATACCTTGTTACAAAAACTTATGAGAAACTCACCGTCCATAGATATGAGAAGTCCAAGGTTCAACTTGGTTAGGGAATCTTGTCATTAGATCAGCTAATCCAATTAAAATATTAGCCCTGATTTGTGGACAAGAAGAACGTTCTAAAATCGTAACAAACAACTGAAGATTCTTTTCGCAAAAGTTTGAGCTTATCGTCATGAATTTGCCCAATGCAATAACACCATAAGCTTGAACCTCTTTGTGACTGTATTTTTCAGGGTGCTGACAAACTTCCAGTATAAGTGGACTAAAAATAATATTTAAAATTATAAATTTATTTAGAGATAGTAATGAGACTAAGTATTTTCCTACTCACAGAAACTTTCTCAAGTATCCATTTTCAGCCAACAACTCCTCTTCCAAACACATGTTAATATGTTCTGCATCAGCATCATCAGCAGTAGAACCCTCCATACTGTCTTCCTGTTCGTCATCATGCTTAGCTCTTATAGATCTGTGCGCGCTGCCCATGATAGTCGATGCATTTGATATAGTGGACATGTTAGATATTCTCGAGGTATTTGACGATGATTTTCGATTTTTAATGTTACTAATTCTCGAACGAACTTCCTTCTTTTTCTCACGCACGGCATTACGACGTTTTAATTCCTTGTAGATCGACTGATCCAAGAGGACTAACTCGCGAATAGCTGTATGTCCGATGACATAGAGAAACCGAGAAAGAAGATGCGAGGGAAGCTCGATATTTGATTCCGGAGCACCGGACGTGCGTATAAAATTGCCAGTTTTGCCGATATGTGCAAGAATATCTTGTAGAATATTTGCTGGCTGGTCAGCGAGCTATTAAAATAAAAATAAAAATAAAATAATCAACTACGCCAATTGAAATAAAAATTAAGCTCTTACATGATAAATGACGTTGATAGCATCTGTTGCAAAAGATGTATATCCATTTTCTTTTTCCTCGAAGATCTTTTCCTTCATGAGGCTGCTGAGTTGGATAAATATTTCATGATCGTTGGGGTACTTGATAGGAGATTTATCTATATCCTTTGAACAATCTTGTTTGATGGACAAGAAAGCTCTGCAAGTATCACGAGCTAGCAAGAGATCGATTTGTGCTCTCTCACCCAGACCAACTTTTATAAGGACATCTAAATTGTCAGTAATGATGTTGGGTTCTACCTGAGCTGCCATTGTTAAAAGCATTAATGCTGATCTGCTTTGTTCTGAAGTTGTATCATTCAACTTTAGAGAAAACATCTCCCACATGACCTGCAAAATTCGATAAAAATAAGTATATACGAAGAAACTCAAGCTCTACAATAAAATTACTCATTACCTTCAAAGCTTCACCATCAAGCTCATTAGTACCCCTCCAAGAAACAACAAGCTTAGAAAGTGCAGCACTCTGTCCGGGCAACATTCCATCTAGCAACTGAATAAGAGCGTAAACAGATCTCAGAGCTTTCGCGCGACTAGTGAGTAACTGTCCAGAATGATCAAGATAAATCTCCTTGTAGACCATAGCCAAATTATCTCGCACTGACTGATCGCGACAAAAGATTTGGAAAAGAGCTTTTCGTACTCCATCTAGTGCTCCCGCAATTTGAAACTGCTTAGCTGCGCCAAGGAAAGAGCATGCTTCAATAGCATCGCCGGGATTTACAGAGTAGAGCAGCTTCTCTACTGTAGGAATGGTTTTTTCCAATTCTGTAGAGAAGTCAAGGCAATTCTGAAAGCAGAAATAATGATTCATTTTAAATTTTGTTGAAGTGTTCTTGTATTTTGAAAATTGCGCATACCTGTAAATACTCTACAAGTTTCTTCTTGACTTTGATTTGATCTAACTTATTAATTTCCTCTTGATCAGTTGTTAGCCTTTTTTTCGTCGATTGTGTTGCTTTCTCATCATTGTTCGTATCATTCTTTTTAGAAGTAGAGTTCATGAAAATTTTGTACATAAACAGTAGTAATGCTTCTTTTTTTGTTTCCTCTGACAAGTTTTTCATTTCCTTGGCGAAACCAGAATGCTTGAACAATTTTTTTAAATATTTGACGGCCTTCCTGCACTTATCTTTCAATATGTAATTCTGAATTTTGTCAAATGTCTCTTTCATGTTAATCTCTTCCAGTTCTTCGTTTTCCACTTCATCATCACTCGGATTATTTCCTGAATGGAATTGGTAAAATTTTTAATTATCTGTCGTTAAAATAAATATAATACACTTTTTAAGAACCCACTTTCTTCTTCTGTAAGCTGATCAATAGCACTTTCAATAAGTGGTAACTGAGTTTTCCATAACTCTTCTTTTTCCTCTTCTGCCTCAGCAGTGTGATAAATCTCAGTTTGGAGCTGCTTCAACTCAGTTTTGGCTTGCTCAAGATTTTGAGCAAATTTCTCTTGATTCATCTTTGAAAGAAAAAAAAACAATCAATGACGTAGTAATAATATTTGTTAAATATTATTTCTTAATTCAGTTTTACCTTGGAAGCAAAAGGATTACTTTGCAAAATAGCACGTAACAGTTGCAAAGCTTGCTTTCTGACATTAGCACTTTTGTCCTCTAATCTCAAAACAGATGCTTTCAATAGACTATTTTGTCTAGATAAAGGTATGGCACCATCACAGCACAGTCTTTGCCATGTTTGAAGCACTTTTGATCTGACATATGCATTGCTATCTAAAATATGTTCCTCTAAATTATCCAAACATTCATCTCTTATAATACGTTTCTCTGGTGGCAACTCTTCACCAGTTAAAACTTTAGCTACAATCACTCCCATCACTCCTATAGCACAATTCCTCATAACGTAACACTGTCAAAGAAAAAATACACGGTAAATTTGCTTGGAATTTTTGTTCCTATTAAGCAAATAAAAACTTACATCCTTGTCAAGAAAATCCATTATATTGTCTAGGATTGGCAACATAATATCTGCTTGTGTCGTTGCAACAGCTTCAAGGAAATTACAGAAATTACGAGCATCTGCTTCTCCAGGTTCACTTTCGCCTATTTCTCTTGCAATTTCTTTGATTAATCCACTGCAACCACATTCAGTTATCATTGTCACAACACCAACTCCAATGGGTACTGCAAGAGCTTCATGAAACTTAGCTAGCTGAATTATTCTAACAACACAGGCTATTCCATGATTGTATTTTTTGACAAGTATGCCAAGAATCTAAAAAATCATTTTGTGTTAGTAATAATAACATTTTGTAATTCGTAATGGTAAATTCTGACTAACTCACTTGGAAAATCAAGTTTCTAACAGTTTTTGACTTTATATCTTTCGTTTTCTCCAATATTTTATAGCAAATTTGACCAATAGTACTGAAATTAGTAGACCAAAAATATTATTAACTGAAATTTAGAACTTTAGAAATGTTTTGTGATTTACCTAACAAATGTATCTTCTACTATAGGTGGTGTCCATAGATTTTTCAAAGGTAATTGCAGCCAACGGTGCAAAATTTCCATTGCCTGTTCTCTTTGAATTTCCCACTCCTCTTCTATATCTGACTTTTGAATATTTTTCTTGCGCTATAAATTATATATATTAATGCATTGAAACAATGAATGCCCTGATAGTATTTAAGCATATATAAATAAAACTAACTTTTCCAATGTTGTCAGCATTGTTACTATTATTGTCAGCTATTTGATCTTCAATAAGGCACAGTGTGGAAGATTTGATATAAGCTAGTATTTTAATAGTCGACAATAAATTCAACTTTTCATTTTGCTCACAATCCAATTCAGGTGATTGTTCAGCTTTCTTCTCTAAGTATCCAATAATGTTTTGTACAACTAAAATATAAATGAATATTAGTACATCTCTTATGAATATACCTAGATGATAAGAATATAACATACTTTTCAAAATCCTGTTGAAAACACGTAACAATATAGACAACTCCAATTTGTTGCCATGAACAATCACTGAGAGAAACAAATCCAGCTTCTCTTGTACAAGCTCAAAAGGTCCCTTTTCTGTCAATTTCTGTTGGTTAATAGCTGTACATATAAATAATATTTAATAATTAATCAGCAAATATTAAATTTATGGTAAAAACAAATAATTCTTTGTTTTCAAAACATTCACCATTGATTTCTTTATTAATCATCTGCAAAGGTACAATATCCCGATGGCCATAATCTGTGAAATGCGTGCGGACAAGCTCATCCTTGTCCAAGGGAATGACAAAATCTTGATTTATCATCTTCAGTAGGTACTATTTGCACTAATCACATGAAAATAAGAATTAGTAGATGTTAGATCTTTAAATCTTTAACTCACACAAGGCACACGACCAGAAACGACAGGTAAACGACGTTTTAACCGCCAAATCGGCAAAATCAAATCCACACTGACACTAGCGCTCATTAGCCGTGGCAAAAGTAAGAAGCATTTTGTCTTGCACTATGTATGTGTGTGTGTGTGTGTGTGCGTACACATACATAATCTGATTTGCTTTGGAAATTGTTTGATAAAAAAGTACCTTTATTAGGACAATTATATTTATAATAGGGCTGTGAAGACTTCGGGTTTCAAAGGCAAATATCTCATAGTTGCAAGTAATAGATTATATAATAATAGGAATAATTTGCCCTAATTGTCTCTGATAAAATCTTTTCGGACTTTACACCATCAATTATTAATGGAATTTTATGATCAATATATTAAAATAAAGACTACAAATTCTCTCGTCATTTTTTGTATTTGCAATTTGTCATCCATGACAATGACCTAGAAGAAAATTAATGTTGGAACGCGGGATCAGTTGGTACCTAAGGGTCTGTCTCCATAGGGCCTGCCTGAGTCCGTCCGAGCCGGCCGAGATTTTTTATGGGCACGCCATCTCTATAATTTCGTGTTCATGCGTTTCTCGTATTGGCTGCGTCCGATCGGGCTCGTTTATGTAAACGCAGCCATTCACTATGAAACTCGCCATTGGATACGAAATTATAGAGATGGCGTGCCCATAAAAAATCTCGGCCGGCTCGGACGGACTCAGGCAGGCCCTATGGAGACAGACCCTAAAAGTAGGTCCACTGTATAGTGTGTGCCTGTGTGCGTACGCGCATATGCGAATGTTATGTAGTACTTTTCATAATAATTCAATTCAGTTGAAAATTGGTAGCAATGCAATTATAAAACATTTTTTTTTAATTAAAAGGATTTCCAGAACTTTTATTTCCCAATTCGAGCATAATTATAGTCAAATAGACTAAATAAGTGGCAAAAAATGGTCATTATTATATTCAATAATAATTAGCTTTCGTCAAAAAATTATAAAAGAAAATACACCAGTTTCGTACCCAATTAAAAATAACCAGAATAAGTAGGATTCCCATTTATCTCTAGACTTAATAATAAAGCTGATTTTAGAGTTTCTATAGTAGCTGAAAAACGAGAAAAGAAAGGCTATGATGCATGAGTTTTCGAATCGAAAAAAAAGCCTTTCCCTACATGGCCCTCGCCACATATGCGCATACGAGGGCGTACAAACGCGTACAAATCGCTAAAAATTTTGATAGTGCCAACAACAGAAAGTTACTACTATTCCTCGCATGCCCCAAACGAACACACTTACTCCCGGAACAAACGTATCATAACCTTCAATAATATAGCGTAGGGCATGCGAGGAATAGTACTAACTTTCTGTTGTTGGCATTATCAAAATTTTTAGCGATTTGTACGCGTTTGTACGCCCTCGTACGCGCGCGTATGCGCATATGTGGCTAGGGCCTATGTGAGCAGAGGCAACGATGCGTTTCATTCGTCAACGCGGCCCAATGATGGTTGACGTAGTCGTTTTAGATTTCGTCCAATCCTGATTTGCCACACGAGCACATGTCGCTTGGTCTGGAGTGCGCGGCTACAGCGGCTCGGGGCTCGACAGGTGGACGGTAAATACCGTATCGTTCGCGGTTCTGGATGTTCCAATGAACAATTAGTGAGAATTCTGCAAGGGACCAATGATTTCCTCACGTGAATTCTAACGTCGCTTGTTGCCTTCAGTTTTTTTTTATTTTATTCATCTCAACGTCCTAAATTCTTTTATCAGTAAGTTTGATTTCGGTTACTCTCTCTGTCTCTCTCTCTCTCTCTCTCTCTCTCTCTCTCTCTCTCTCTCTCTCTCTCTCTCTCTCTCTCTCTCTCTCTCTCTCTCTCTCTCTCTCTCTCTCTCTCTCTCTCTCTCTCTGCCACCTAACCAAATTTGACAATAAACGACGTGTGATATACTTTCTCGCGAAGAGAAAAGAGAAAGCCATTTTTTCTATGACTTTCAATAAAATTGTTCAATCGACATTTCGTGCTGTTATAGTGTATTTTTTCTTAACATCGTTTCATGTTGAGACAGTTTAATGCTTCAATTATTCGGTTTTAAAGCAAACGTTTTGTAGCGTCTACTTCGGCGACACGATTTCTGCTCAATGTTAAAAATTATTCTTTTTGTCAATAGCGTTTGTTAATGTTAGTATATAAAAAAGGAATATCAGTGAAGTAGCAGGTAACGAATTGGTCATGTTAAAAAAGTCGATATGTGTAATGTATAGCTTCACTAGTGTAAACTTCTAGAATTCAATAGTAATTGAAAAATATCTTTTTTCAAATAATGTAAATATCTACATAATGAAATATATATGTAAAATCTATTACTTGTGAAATAAAAGTAATGTAGAATAGCTATTTCAAATATAAAATATCTATCAAATATAACAGTGTATAAAAGACAAAAATTTAATTAGACATTGTATTTCAAGAACAACATGGCAAACTGCAAAAAATCATCCGTTCTTTTATTGTTGCTCATTTCCATTGGCTTTATGACCAGTGAGACCTATGGAATTGCTGTTATGAGTGTTGATCTTGGTAGTGAATGGATGAAAGTTGCCATTGTTTCGGTAATATCTATTTAATCAACATAATAATTTAGTTAGCATAATTCTTTGAAACAAACTAATAAATGTTTTAACTTATAGCCAGGAGTTCCCATGGAAATTGCTCTAAACAAAGAGTCAAAGAGGAAAACTCCAATGGTTATATCTTTTAGAGATGAAGAGCGGACATTTGGTGAAGATGCCCAAGTAGTAGGCACTCGTTTCCCGAAAATCAGTTTCCAATATATCTTGGATTTGGTGGGTAAATCAATTGAAAACCCAATAGTCCAGCTGTTCATGAAACGCTTTCCATACTATGATATTGAGTCTGACAATGAACGTAATACAATAGTCTTTAGAATAGATGAGAAAACAATCTACACTCCTGAAGAGTTGTTAGCTCAAATCTTACACAAAGCTCGGGAATTTGCTCAAAATTCAGCTGGTCAGAAGATTAATGAAGCTGTTATTACTGTTCCTGGTTTTTTTAACCAAGTTGAACGTCTGGCTATTCTTCAAGCAGCTGACCTTGCCAACATTAAAATATTGCAATTGTTCAATGACTATTCTGCTGTTGCTTTGAATTACGGCATTTTCAATCGTAAGCAGATCAATGACACAGCTCACTACGTTATGTTCTACGACATGGGAGCCAGTAGTACTACAGCTACTGTTGTTGGCTACCAGAATATCAAAACCAAAGAGAGAGGTTTTCTTGAGACTCATCCACAAGTCAGTATTCTTGGTGTTGGCTATGATCGTACCTTGGGTGGTTTGGAAATGCAAATCAGACTGAGAGATTACCTTGCTAAGGAGTTTGATGCTATGAAGAAAACTTCAAACTCAGTTTTCAAAAATCCGAGAGCTATGGCTAAACTTTTCAAAGAAGCTGGACGTGTAAAGAATGTGTTAAGCGCTAACAATGACCATTATGCTCAGATTGAAGGAGTTATTGATGAGAAAGACTTTAGATTGCAGGTAACCAGAGAAAAGTTTGAAGAACTCTGTGTTGACTTGTTTGAAAGAGTAGCAAATCCAGTTAAAACCGCTTTGGAAACTTCAGGTATATGGTTCAAAAAAAAAAAAAAAAATACATCTATTAGTGAAAAACTTTCCCATCATTTAAGTCTAACGTAATTTTTTTTATAGGCTTAACCATGGATATAATCAGTCAAGTAGTATTAGTAGGAGCTGGTACCAGAGTACCGAAAATCCAAGAAAAATTAAGTGCTTATCTTAAAACTGAGTTAGCCAAGAACATCAACGCCGATGAAGCTGCTGCTCTTGGAGCCGTTTACAAGGCTGCGGATCTCAGTCAGGGTTTCAAAGTGAAGAAATTTATTACGAAGGATGCCGTATTGTTTCCTATTCAGATCGTTTTTGATAGAACTGTTGAAAATAATAAAGTTAAGCAGGTAATTTATCAATAAATATATAAATTTTTACGTTATGTCATTATTTAATTGTAAATAAATTTCCAGGTTCGAAGGACCCTATTTAGCAAAATGAACGCATATCCACAAAAGAAAATTATTACCTTCAATAAGCATAATCACGACTTTTCGTTCGACATTAATTATGCCGAGCTAGATTACTTGTCCAAGGAAGAAATTGCGTAAGTTTGAAAATGAAAAATAAATCCCTAACCCTACGATTGGCATCTTTTCAATTATTAATCGTTACAGTGCTATTGGTAACTTAAATATCTCTACAATATCATTAAGTGGAGTTGCCGAAGCAATGGCAAAACATTCGAAGGAAGCAGCCGAAAGTAAGGGAATCAAAGCGCATTTTGCCATGGATGAGAGCGGCGTATTGAATTTAGTTAATGTAGAGCTTGTATCGGAGAAAACAAGCGTCGTCGAAGAAGAAGGTGCTTTCTCAAAACTTGGTTCAACAATAAGTAAACTCTTTTCTGGTTTGTTCTCAGCAATTGTGCTCTTGACTAGAGATGGATACTTAGTTTCTTTTTTTTTTGTAAATCTTTGTATTGCTTTCTATTGCATGAACGATTATTTTATACAATGTTTTTAATTATGTTATCCACCTCTAGTCCTGACTCGAAAGTTCAATTGGTTATAACAAACACACAAGCACTATCATAATTTATATTATACTTCTACCTTTTCTTCACTGTTTACCATTGAATTTTCGAACCAGAAATAAATGTATTAATTTTTTCGTTATTTTTAACGTGCATGTTCATTTATTAGGATCGGAAGCTAAAGAAGCTGAAAAGGTTACACTGCCACCAAAAGATGATATAAGACCTGTTTATGAAGAGCCTGATGAATATCCAGAACCAAAGAAAGAATCTGATGAAAAGGCGAAGGCCGAAAATGAAACAAAATCTCCCGAAGGCCAAACGGAAAACAAAACTGAGAAAATAGAAAAAGAAATAAAACCAACTATTGTTACTCTTAAAGAACCAATCAAAGCTCACGAAGACAAGCTTGGACCAAAAACTCTTTCTGAAGACAAGTTCTTAGTTTCGAAAGAAAAGTAAAATGATCAATATTTTATCATTTTCAGAGCACAATACGGTTTCATTACAATAATCTTTCAAATAAATAATACTTTTCAGACTCTCATCTTTGGACAAACATGAGAATGAAAGAGTTCGTCGTGAAAGCGCTTTGAATAGCTTGGAATCCTTCGTAATTGATGCGCAACAAAAATTAGAAACTGAAGAGTATCAGAATGCTCTTGTACCTACCGATGCCGAGAAGATCAAGAAAGCTTGCAATGAAGTTTCGGAATGGCTTTACGAGGAAGGTTTTGGTGCAAGTGCAGATACCTACGAAGAAAAGTTGTACGAATTACAAAAACTGACGGCTGATGTAAATGAAAGAGTGTTTGAGCATAAAGAGCGACCAGAGGCCTTAAAGGGGATGCTTTCAATGATTAATGGAAGCAGAACGTTCTTAACTAACATGAAGAATCTCAATGTTTCTTCTGAGATTTTCACTCAAATTGAAATAGAAACTTTAGAAAAAGTTATCAATGAAACAGAGGTAATTTTCAATTATATTTTTAACAATATATAAATATTAATTTTAATTTGACATTTTTAGGAATATCACGCTATGGTTATCAAAGCATCATCTGAGATGAAGTTATACGAACCCGTGCTTCACAAAGTTCGCGATATCGCTAATAAGATGGCTATGCTTGACAGAGAAGTAAAATACTTGGTAAACAAGGCTAAGATTTGGAAACCAAAACAAGAACCAACATCGAACAATGCAGAAGAAATCAGTGAAAATAAAACGAACGCTAGTGCCAGTGATGACAAGAAAGAATTTTCTGGGAAAAGAGGAAGGGATGAGGCTGAAACGTTAGAAGCAGAGGAGACTTTGGAATTGCCTATAAGTGATACAGCAGAAGCTGAGGATGATGATTCTAAAGTTGAACATCAAGAGCTCTAAATCCATAATTTATTAAGAGAAAATTTAGGTATTTTTCAATGATAGATTTGAAGATTGAAATGTTTGATGATCAACTCGTTAATCACTTTTCTGAAGAATGAAATTCTGAATGGTTTCAGTTATTGACTGGATGAAGAGTGTTTCTGTTTAAATAAATTTTTATCAAGCACATTCAATTTTCTGCAGACAAGACTAAAACATTTTTTATACTTTGACGTTAATTTGGTAACTTTATTAATTAATGGTATCTTTCTACTAAAAAACTAAGAATCACGTATTTTGTATAATTTATGTTCTGATACATCCACAGTGTTAGGGTACTTGATTACATCAAGCCTTCCAATAATTTTTATTGCATGCTTAAATGTGAACATGTAATATTTCACATGTTATTTGTGTGGATAACGCGATTTTGATAAACAAAAAAAATGTAAAATGTAAAAGTGGTATTTAATGTAAATTTCATCTGCATGAATCGTTCAAAAAATGTATGAATGGAAGCATTTTTGTGTGGTTAAATATAGCACGTTTATTAGAAATATTGTCATCATTTAATGATGAGTAAAGTGATAAACATCTAGAAGCTTCAAAAAGGTGCATTATCAGACTTTTTCAATACAAAAAAAACTTCCTTCTTAAAAAATGAAAGATTCATCCTCTCTAAATGCGTACTTAAAAGCATTTTTTCATTGTTCCATCTATGATAAACAGACAAATGAATCTTAAATGAATTTAGTTAGATAATTATTTCTAATTTTTAAGTTTCAATGAATGTAGCGAGTTGATTTGTTTTTCTGATAAAAGTATAGTGCAAATATGCTGCAATTATATATATATATATTCATTCCAATTAAACTAAATATGGCGAAAAAATTTTGTTATTTATTATTCGGAGTGAATAAATTTGTATTTATAAAACTGAAAAACTGAAAATAATTTTTTATGTATTTTATACCATTTCCATTCCAAAATTCTACTTTTATTATCTATTTTGCACATCTGTAATATGAATTAATTATTCAACCAGACTGGCATATTGCACCTATGTGCACGTGTGTTTTGTGATTGATATAGATAAATATCACGTGACTGTTCTTAACCTTTGAAATCATAACTAAGATATGTTAAAAAATTCTCAGTTATAATTTTTACAGTTAAATTTTTCGTATGGCTTATAGAAATTTGTTTAAATCATTAGTAAAAAAATTAAATTGTGTATCTCCTATTTTACTGGTATGTTTTGCAATAATTTTTTTTCTAGATAAGTAATCAAAATTTAAATTTATTGATGTCTTATTCTGTACTATATTTATTATTATAATTATAACAGAGACACTCAAAGTTTTTAGAATATTATATACTTTCATATGATTCTACAATGATATGAGTAATTATAGTTGATTTTTTTATACAGTATGCAACAACAACATTTTCATTTTCTGAACCACCCAAAGATCCAAGCAATGAACAGAAACTACTTTTTGAGGATTCAAGTACTAAAAAGCTCACTTATGATTACTTAATCAAACAATCAACAGTAGATGCTGTGAACACTGCCTCGCAAGCTCTGACAGTCACTTATGTAGCAATTGAAGCAACTAGTAAGGAGTACAGGTAATTAATTCAATTCTATTATACATTTATAATGGAATGCATGGAATATTAAATCTATTTTGTTTATCTTTAGGGAATTATTAACAAAATTAATTGTACTTATGAATGAGGCTGTATCTCGTGAAGTAGATGATAATCATTGGGATGAAATTTTAGAAATTAGGTATCAAATGCAGACAAAAAAAACAAATACTATTGGTAATTATCCGTCTATTCTACAGTATTAAGGCTAAATTATAAACAATTTCATTAACTAATTTTATTTCTTGAGAAATTCATAAGCTATATGGATTATGTACATAAAATGGCTGAAGCTGCATCAGAAATAAGTTTTCTAGCAGGTCTAGATAATTTATCAATATCCATGACATCACGCATAGATGATGCCTTAGTTAAAATACAAACAGAAAAAAATAATAACAGTCAATTGGAGGAAGAATATCTACAAGTACAAAAAAAAATCTATAAACAGTAGTAAATATTAAAATATTTTTTTAAATTACATAAACCAAAAATATCTGTTAATTATATTTACTTGTTTTCAGCAAAAAAACAAAACAATGAAAGCCAAGAGGAATATAAATAAAAAATACTAATTTATGCTTGTTCAATAAATTTTTTGGAGTTCTGACTGTTTTTATTTACACTATTTTATACAAAACTTATTTAATAAAGTTTCATAGTTGAATCTAAATATCATTGATCACATTACATATCACCATTAATTGAAATGTTTTAAGCAACATTCATTCATCCAAATGTATAGAAACAATGTGACGTCCGGGTACCATAACAAGTCCTAATGCTCTGGCTTCAGAGTTTTCTGATAAATATTCAGAACACAATCCTAGTATAACATTGGCATCTCTATCAGTACACAAAAAAGATCCAGTCAATATTCGACCATCAGTCATTTTAATCCTCAAATTCTGATTTAACCAAGCTTTCAATGCTTGTCTTCCTGGAGTTAATTTCACAGGTGTATCCTATAAAATTAAAAACAAATTAATTCTTTTCTATTTTTTGATAAGTTTTAAGGTTCTATAGATTTCGGAAAACAAAGATACATAAAAAATGAATACTAACATCATTTTTGACTTCACCATTTTCACTGACTTTTTCATCATTTGTCATCGTTGTATCACAATTTTGTTCTTTTTCTGTCATATTAATGAAGAAGCAACGATTTTCTAAAAATGTTTTCAAGTAATTTCAAATTTGTCACAATTAAAATAGTTAACTAATTTGTTCTTCAATCGACATTTTTTTTTAATAAAATAAAATAATAAATTACTTATTCAAAATAAAAATCCAAATAATTGCACTATTTTGGATATAAAAACAGGAGGGCCGAAAACTGGAACTGAACCAAAAAGAGAAAACATTGAAGTATTGAATACAGATCATAGATGATACAGATGAAAATTCAAGAGAATGACTGAAGTCTGAAGATGATTTATTAATTTTATATATATATATATGTATATATATATATATAGAGAGAGAGAGAGAGAGATATGACAATAATGGCTGATAGTGTTGCCATCTGAATCTTAATTTCTAAAGTACAATTTGTCAGAGACTAGAATGTAGAAAGGTCGAAAAAGTTAGCACCCAGAATCCTTTTTTTTAAGCTAATCGATAAACTAATTATGCCGTTAGATATTTCGTCAGGATAGCAACAACTTTTCTCTTTGTCGTTTGTTGGTTCGTCCACTGGAAATCCTTAAAATTAATAAAATAAGTCTTGGGTGCTGGCCTTAGCACCCAAACCAAAGTTGCGGTCAAACCTAGAAAATATTAAGTAAAAAAAATTCGTAAGTAAATCGATCGTTAGTTCGTCTTACGAACTAACAGCACTCAAAATAAAATCATGACTAATTTGATTATTTAAGCAACTAAAAATAAAAAACTGTTTCGAATATTGGCTCACGTTCAAACGCCAAAGCGCGGTACGCATGCTTCCTGAATTATCCCCGCCGGTACCCGAACCCCCGCTCTTATTTGTTACTACACCTGTTTGATTTTAATACATCAGATCAAATCAAACTTTATAGTAACATTAGTAAACATTAGTAACTAGTACCTATTGTCCGATCAATGGGTAAATGGAATTTAAAAAAGTTACGCTTCGCGTATTAATTACTCAAGTACGTAAGGAATTGTTCAACAGTGGCACTGGTAACTAAATAGCACACGAGCACACCGGTTTTTGTTTGAACACTTTTTTAACCTAAAAAAGTAGCTATTGTGATAAATTCATACTAATATTTAGCAAAGTGCACTTTTACAGTCTCTTATGAGATCTGTTGGAGTATTAATATTACAAGATTTAAAAAACAGTAGTACATTTCATTGGAATTGTGAATAATTATACGATTACTTGCAATAAATATGCATAGAAGAATCTTGCTTTTGCAAAGTACCCTGCCTAGCGATTGGATAGAGAAGAAAACTCTTGACAGGGCAGACAGATTACCTTTGATAGAAAATTTTACAGACAGTGTTTCAATTAGAGAAGGCAAGCTACTACGTGATTGGGATAGAGAAGACGATGCAAGATTAGCAAAGAGAATGCTCATTGAGGTTTGTATTCAGTTTATTGTTTCAGCAATAATCTGTGAACGAATAAAGCATATATTCAATGCATTTCAGGTATATTGCTGTAGACTACAAAAAGCTCAACCATTAGGCCATACATTGTGGCCAGCAATGGCGTGCACAATGCCTGTTAGGATGGATACCATATCACAATCCAAATAACAAAAATTCTCTTAGACAGCAACCCTAATAGAAGTCTGTGGTAGCTATGTGCTTGAGAGTTGTCTAATGACAATCGAGTTGGTAAGTGGCAATCAATTTTTTTCTAGCTCATAAATTAGATTTTCTTTATTAAGAATATTTTTTATTTCATCTTATAGAACGCAGTGGCCAAATACGAGTAGTCCGCTGAGCAGCTGCAAACTACGAGGATTTTTGCCTAGTAGAAAAGAAGCAGTGCAATTTTGTCAACACGATGACCAGCCTTGGCAAACCACGAAACCCCCGGTACGGAGACTGCAAGTCGTTATCTACACTTTGTGAGTCTCAAGTTCGTTATCGGTAGTTTCAATCACGCTTTAAAAACGGAAAACGGTATCAAGTTCAATTTAAAGCCCAATTGCACTCATATGATAATGTTAATGTTAATTTTCTATTTTTCATGACATACGACCCTTGTGTCAAAATATAAGTATATTTGAATATCACACAGTGATATAATATTAACCATGTTTTTTATTAACAAGAATTTCTGGATTATCACTTAATTTAAGTGGAAAATTGACAATGCAATATTTTTAATTACATCAGTTGCAAACAAAACTCGTTTTTGCCAAAACGATGAAGAATAAATAAAATTCATTTTAAAAAGCTCGCGCCAACTTGCGTGTGTGATGCGCTAGTTCGCTATTGGAGCGCACAAGTATGGCTCAGTTTTGGGCGCGTGTTCTTAGAACTTTCAATCTTGTTGTTTGTCATTTGATCCATTATAGTGCATTTAGAGAACGGCGCGAGCAGTTTCACTTTGATATCTTGATAATCGCCTTAAATTATCTAGTTGCAATAACAAAAGCCTGCGAATCTCTAGAGAGAATGTGGAAGGTGAAACCTCGTGTTCGGGAATAATCGTTAATTTCAGTGATACTACTTGCAGGAGCAGATGATGACTGCATCGACGTTTAATCCGGAATGAGTTTTGGTTACTCGTCGTGAAGGAGCCATTGCAGCATGTGAACAGTTGACAATTTGGAAATTCGAAGAAGCATTTCAATGACAACAACTGCATCATGATGCTATGGTATGTGCAACAATTATCATCACGTGCTTAACTAAATGCATTTATCCAACTCAGATATTCATTCTTTCTCTCTCTCTCTCTCTCTCTCTCTCTCTCCTCTCTCTCTCTCTCTCTCTCTCTCTCTCTCTCTCCTCTCTCTCTCTCTCTCTCTCTCTCTCTCTCTCTCTCTCTCTCTCTCTCTTCAATTTTCATTATTCAGTACTGTGATTCCATTTATAGCGCTGTGATCTCAACTTATAATTTTCAATTTTACTTTATCTCACTCGTACGTTTATTTTGGTACTATTCCCTTATACCAGCAGCAATTCTCATTACTACCTTATATGATTTTTCAGATTCCTTGACGTACAAAGTCTTTTTTTTCTCAACAATCAACTGCGACTTCTCATCGTCGAATGAAAACTAGCTCGGTTTGTGACTTCATTAATTGTTTGTATTTTTAATTATTCCATCATAATAACGTTACATTAGTGTGATTGTTAATTTCTTCATTTCTTTATTTCAGATATCACAAGAATATTTGCTACTCGAGAAACACGGTTCATCAACCCTTGTACATTTGACACCATGAAAAGAGGAAATAAATCTAAGGGTTTTCAAAGAACTGTTAAAAAGAAGGAGAGAAAAATAAATTACGATCAGAATGCTCAAGCCTCCTATCAAGTCGAATTGACAGAAGATGAGTGGAAAGAAATGGAACCAAATCCTGTCTCATGGAAATGTAGAAATACGTTTAGATTAAAAAAGATATGGACTCATATGATTGTATATAAACTCTTTTCACTTCACAAAATACCATGTCCGTTCAAATTTAAGAAGCATCATTTCCCAGTGGTTCCCAACAGCCTTTATTTTACTTTTTTTGGTAATTGTGAAGAATGTGGTAATCCAATATCTGGTTTTATGCAGCATGAACCTCAGAAAAATTCTCCAATTACAATAGAGATAAGTACCCATGACACTCGCAATCTCATCCATGAAACTAGCACTCATCTTGCTAATGAGCGAAGGATCAAGGAAGGACAAAAATTGGCGCACACCAAACCAAAAAGATATGTTGACGAACAAGCAGCAGATACAATCAACGATAGCGGTACAAAACCGCCGTACTTTATCAAGGAATCTGTTGCTCGTACAGCTCGACAGGAAGTTAGAGATAGGCAAATTGGTATTGATAAGTATTCGCAGGATTCTGTGATTGCTATATTGCAGATAATGGATGACGAAGAAGATATTCTACAGTTTGGGGTGGACTTAGTTAAAATTTATTATTGGATGAAAAATCAAACAACTTTGTGGAACGAAGCTAACAAACTACATTTGCCTATTTCGATCGACGCGACTGGATCTATTGTAAAACGTCTGAATATCATTGACGATATTAACAGTTCTGCAATTTTTTTGTACAACATCACAATAAGATTTCTAAAGCAAGTATTTAGCATTTGCCAGATGTTATCTAGTCAACATGACTCGGGAACTATTGCAGAGTGGCTCGAGGCTTGGATCGAAAGTGGAGCCAGTATTCCCAGTCAAGTAACAGTAGATTGCTCATGGGCACTACTAATAGCCGTTTGTTATGTATTCAATGACTGCGATTACTTTGAATATAACGATCGCTGTCATCGATACGTCGTAGAATATAACGCAAAATTGAAATTGAGGGAAAAACCAGAAGATCCTATAGTTATGATCAATCAATTGCCTGTTTGTCGAATAATGAGGGATCGAGCTCATTTGATAAAATCTTCGTGCAAATGGAAATGTTTCAGTCATGGACAGTACTGGACGAAAAAAGATTTTTATGTTCGCGTTATCGCGTTCTGCCTTGAAATCGAAAATATTGAAGAGTTGAATGACGTTATTCTTGCATTATTTGTGATATGTACATCTCAATACTTCGATGAAGCTAGTCATTGTTATGAGAAGTATCAATTTTTGAAGGAAAAAATAAGGACTTTTCATCACAAACAATTTAATTTGGATATTGATTCCACTTGTGATAATGAACATTGCAGCTTTCTCAAAGAGTTTGATACAGATGAAAAGCTCGACTTATTTGAATGTCCAGCAGGCGATATAAAAATCCATATCTCCAGACTAAAAATCCGTAGTGAAACGTTAGCAGAAGAAGACTCTTCTTGCAATTATAGTAAAGGTAATCCGTATTGGTTGCCAGCTATCTTGAACAATTTGATTAGACTTTTTAGAGAATATCCTAGCTGGACGAACGTAACTAGACTGCTCTATTCCTTTAATGTAAATAAAGTCGCTACGTCAACAGGATCTGAAGTGTATTTTAGAATCATGAAAATTGATTATGAACTAATGCGTCTGTCGTTACAAAGATTATTATTGCAGCATTTAAAGATTCTCAGGGGTGCAACTCGCAATGGTAGGAGAGAATTACTGAAATATAAAGAGCTAAAAGCTCGAGAAAAAACAGATGTGCTTGTCGAACCCGACGTCCCCACTTCAGACAATTTTAAGGATGTTCAACTCAATTGCCAACCAGTGAATTCAAGACTCGAAAGTAACTGTGAGCCGCTATGTGTTAAATCTGATACATCGAGCAAATATAAGCGCTTTCCAAAAATTGACACTCCTGAAGACAGAATTCTTATTTTGAATATTGATAAAGAAAAAACATTTAAATACGTTGTAAATATGGCCTTCTATGACTATAATTTACCATACGCGCTCAATGCTAACGGTTGTAATTTAACTTTACAAGCATTCATGTCTCTGAAACCGAGACAATTCATATACGACGAAGTAATCGATGCAGTCATGTGCATATGGAAACGTAAAGCAGAGTGGCAAAATGTTTTTTTTGTGCCCACGACACAGACTAATTTCATTCTTGGTGATCAGTACCATCAAAGCCACCCTCCAAATTGGATTATGTATAATATTAACTTCAATTTTTACGGAATTGTTTTTATGCCTTTTTGTTTCAAACAGCACTGGTGTTTAGTCATGTTGAATGTTCGCAGAAAAATGATTTATTATTTCGATCCAAAATACGATCATACTAAGGAGAGACCTGTGAAAGCGTTAAAAACCTATTTCAAAAGATGTAAAGATATATTTAAACAAAAATGTGGGACACTAAAGGAAGTTGAAGTCAACAATTTATCAATGATTCAATGGAAAGATACTGGTTCCACTAATGATCGTAACACGCAAGGTCTTCCGCATCAAACCGATGCATACAATTGTGCTCTTTTTATTTTACATTACATGGCTATTCTCTCCGGAGTCGATGGTGTTGAATTGTTCAATCCAGATGATTATAGACTTTCCATTGCTGAATTACTTTTGCGAGAATTGGATATAGCAAATGTTAACTGTTTATTCTGCTACAACAAAAGAAGAGGATATAAAATTATGTTTTGCATAAAATGCCACAGATGGGCTCACGTAGAATGTATTACAAGAACGAACTCTATGATTGAAAACAGAGTTTGCGAAATTTGCTCCTTGAATATCCATATCTCGTCGTTGTAGCGTTTTATTTTGTTCATACTGTCAACGGCTTAGACGTTTCATTTTTAAATTGAAAGCGCGCGCGCGCATGATTTGTTTAGAAGCCTTGAATTCTAGTATAAGCCATCAACTGCTATCGTCAGCATTTGCTCACTCTGTCGCTCTCACAGCAGAGCTTTATTGATTGTAAACGATAGTTATAATGAAAAAATATGTACAATATTTGTATCGATCAATACAAATTAATGCTTAATAAATAAATAGGCAACATTACTTGAAACCAATTATTTTTAATAATTAATTTGCCTAGAATTGATGATTACATATATTTGAAAACATAGATTATCAAAATGAATATTAATTTAAGTTAACATTTCATATTCAAAGGCAATTTATTGATCGAGATAACGAGAGTAGTTAACTGTGAGTATAGTTACATTCCCAAATTAATGTAGAAAAATTAAACATGTTCAAATGTTACTTAATTAAAAAGAGATTTAATTACTTATTTTAATGTATACCAATGAAATTATTTTGATTTTAGGCAGTTTATCCAGTTTCTGTATTTTTGTTTTTGTACCGCTACGTTTATCCCAAAATTGTTGTATTGTTTGACAATAAGCGACGTACATAGGATTACTTATTGAATCTAGCGTTATAACACCTACTAATGCGTATTGAATTTTCTCTTCATTTAGATTCGACGGTACATTTATTATAGTAGGGGCTGCATTGACAAATTCAAAAATATTGCTTTGTTCAATGTCAATGCATAAATACGCTTCCCAATAGTAATAAACACTCATACTGTCAATGTTGGTTCTTGGGCATTTTGTACAAAAGTTTTCAAGAGATTGCCATTTGTTTAGAAAATATAAATCTAGAAATATTTGCAAATCATTCAATCTTTCACATGGATATATTTCTAAAGAAATGACAGTTTCATGCAAATATTTAACATTTTCATTACACAACAAACAAGTGATCGCCATCGAAAAAGAATAATGACTTCCTATTGCAATTTTAAAGAATTTACATAAAGATTCATCAATCCTTATGAAATTACCGTGATAATCAACAGTGGCATATCTGTACAACAATTTCGCTCGTTGATCATACATTTTACTTGTTAAACCTGTAGTACAATATTGTTTAATCATTTGCATAAAGCAATCATTTTTGCAGGATGAAACGCAAAGTTTGTCATTCAAACATAACTTTTGAAAGGTATTGAAATTTTTACAAGCAAAGGAAAAGATCTCAGCGAAGACGTCAATTTTAGACGTATCTTCAATTGTAAATCTTTGTGAATTTATCGTTCTTCCTTTTAATTTTATTGCATTGCGAATTATGGAATCTTTTCCTTTACTTGTAGCTACTTGTTCATGTGCTAGTTCAAAACCTGGTGCTGCTACATGCCATTTACTATTGTTTTTTTTAACGCTAACATAAATGTGATTATTGATTTGACGTACTTTTCTTTGCTTCGAATTATCATCTTTCAATTGAAGATTTTGGTCGCTAGTGTTTGCATCAAGCGTACAATTTGCAAATAATTGTCGATTGTCATTATCACTGAATTTATCATTGTCACCTGTCATTTTTTTCCTCGAAATACTTGTGCTATTGCTGGGCGATTGTGAATTTTCCCGTGCGTAACTATGTTCCAACCAAACTTTAAGTATGGAGCCATTATTTGTTTCATAGCTTACAAATGATGAGTTTGCCAGCGGTATGAAATTTTCGTCACTCTGTTCAAAATTACTGATGTTATTATCAGGACACGATATGCTCTGTTCTTCAATTATTGTGGAAAAAACATTTGCATGTGATTGATCAGCTTGTGCAACGCCTATTGGTAAAGAATCTTTCTCGTGGCAATGAATTTCGTCATTTTCACAAAAGAATGTATGTTCTTTTTGAGATTCTGTTTTTACTGAAGTATTTGATTTACCGGTAAAAAAGATGTCCATCGACTCCGGTAGAATATCCGTACCATCGATACAATCATATGCATATTCACATTCGATAAAAGGTTCTTTATTTATTCCTAATGTAGGCTCATACTCTAGATGCTCTATGCTTGCAGCTTTCTGAAGACCTATTTCTTCAATTAGTGTCTCACAGTCAATTTTTGCTTGTTCTTCAATATATATTGCTTTCGAAGATTTGTCAGTTTCACTCTCTATTACAACTGCATTAGTTTTTAGAATTTCGTTGACTAATTTATTAGCAGTTTTGTAACAATCGTTTTTGCCTCTCCAGTTTTCTTCATATCTTTGATACATTTGTTTTTCATTTGATCCATTTGTCTTGATATATTTATTGACAGTTTTTGTTGTTCGTCTTTTTCGATTGTTTAACGTAGCTTTCGCTTTACGCATAGAATCCTTAGATATCATGATAGTGTCACTTAAAAAATTAGTGAAATTTTGTTGATCGGTGCGTAACTTTTTTTGTTGAGTGGTAACATCAAGCACGAAATCTAAATTCAAATCATCTAAGAGAAATGCTGTCCACGATGGGAACGAGCTTAACAAAAATACCAACTGGGCATCGTACCATTCTGGAAAAGCATACACATTAGGACGATCTCCATTTGAAATTACATAAATTTTTGCTTTTAAATCTTCAATGTAACTGAGCACTTGTATTAGTTTCTGCTTCTCATTATTAAAAATCCTGCATGGATCAATAAACTTGCATTCTTTATACTCTAAAAATTTTTTATAAGTATTTTGTACTTTTGATTTTTCCAACTTTGCATCCAATGCTTTTTTCTGCTCAGCAACATGCTCATTATCGTATGGCGACAACAGACAAATTAACATACAAGTGACAGTGTTTTCAAAGTCGCCTAAAGTCTTGACAAATCTCATGTAAATGATGCACTGAAGATAAAATTTTCGAACTATAGGTATTAGATTATTAAAATATTCAGATTCATCGATTCTCAATAAAATACTTATCAAGTCAATATTCAGTAGTACAGCAGGCAATGACTCAGACTGCTTTTTAATAAATTTCAAACATTGTTTCGTGTAATCATTAAATGTACACATGTTAAGAGCAAGACAAACATTATTTATAAGACCATCATGATATGCAATATGGAATTGTAAAGGTAAATCCATAATCTCATCCTTTAAAAAATTTAAAAGAAAGTATTTGATGTTAAAACATTTCAATTTCTCACAGATGATTTGAGAAAGGTATACTGGATGATTTTCTATCTTTGAAACTATTGAAATAATGTAATTTCTACTACTTTTATAATTTTTCAACTCAATGAGCGGTGCATCGACTTCTACAGTTGTTAGACCGATACTGTAATCTGCACGAACTAATAGTTTGAATGTATCTTTATGCTCTGTACATTTTAGTTTAACAGAAAATGGTCGCAAGCATACATCTTTAATCGTGTCGTTATACAGTACATTATATTTCATGCGTAACAAGTTATCGTATTCATCTGGCATCGAATTTTTTTTTTTCAATAATAATATTATTATGATTATCTTGCACAGATTGATCGCAATAATCATTTCCTTCAGAAGTATCAGATTGACGCTCTTCTGCCTGTACAGGTTCGCGTACAAGTGTCGGACACTGATAACGCTGGAGATCAAGTTTTAGTGATTTTTTGTGCTTGATCACGGTCATATAAATATTGTGGACAGTCATAGGCGACAATAGTTCACTGGCTTTATTCCAAGGTCGGTTTCCATGCTCATCAACGTACCTCTCTTTTCTTAAATTACCTTCCTTGTCGAATATTGAGAATTGTTTCAATACGTTGAAAATTTCCACGTGAGTTTTTACTGATTCACGAGGCATATTCTATAATTGAATCTTCATGTAAATTCATAAGACTCCTTGATCATCATCAGTTTAAAATTAGTACTTGTATTAGTATTGTATATGAGCAATTATACATATGAATATCAAGTATCTCACCGATGTCATTCTAGTAATTCAATCATGTTCAGTATGCAATTGCAAATCATGCAAGTATCATGACAGCCACAAACCGAGCTAGTTTTCATTCGACGATGAGAAGTCGCAGTTGATTGTTGAGAAAAAAAAGACTTTGTACGTCAAGGAATCTGAAAAATCATATAAGGTAGTAATGAGAATTGCTGCTGGTATAAGGGAATAGTACCAAAATAAACGTACGAGTGAGATAAAGTAAAATTGAAAATTATAAGTTGAGATCACAGCGCTATAAATGGAATCACAGTACTGAATAATGAAAATTGAAAGAGAGAGAGAGAGAGAGAGAGAGAGAGAGAGAGAGAGAGAGAGAGAGAGAGAGAGAGAGAGAGAGAGAGAGAGAGAGAGAGAGAGAGAGAGAGAGAAAGAATGAATATCTGAGTTGGATAAATGCATTTAGTTAAGCACGTGATGATAATTGTTGCACATACCATAGCATCATGATGCAGTTGTTGTCATTGAAATGCTTCTTCGAATTTCCAAATTGTCAACTGTTCACATGCTGCAATGGCTCCTTCACGACGAGTAACCAAAACTCATTCCGGATTAAACGTCGATGCAGTCATCATCTGCTCCTGCAAGTAGTATCACTGAAATTAACGATTATTCCCGAACACGAGGTTTCACCTTCCACATTCTCTCTAGAGATTCGCAGGCTTTTGTTATTGCAACTAGATAATTTAAGGCGATTATCAAGATATCAAAGTGAAACTGCTCGCGCCGTTCTCTAAATGCACTATAATGGATCAAATGACAAACAACAAGATTGAAAGTTCTAAGAACACGCGCCCAAAACTGAGCCATACTTGTGCGCTCCAATAGCGAACTAGCGCATCACACACGCAAGTTGGCGCGAGCTTTTTAAAATGAATTTTATTTATTCTTCATCGTTTTGGCAAAAACGAGTTTTGTTTGCAACTGATGTAATTAAAAATATTGCATTGTCAATTTTCCACTTAAATTAAGTGATAATCCAGAAATTCTTGTTAATAAAAAACATGGTTAATATTATATCACTGTGTGATATTCAAATATACTTATATTTTGACACAAGGGTCGTATGTCATGAAAAATAGAAAATTAACATTAACATTATCATATGAGTGCAATTGGGCTTTAAATTGAACTTGATACCGTTTTCCGTTTTTAAAGCGTGATTGAAACTACCGTTAACGAACTTGAGACTCACAAAGTGTAGATAACGACTTGCAGTCTCCGTACCGGGGGTTTCGTGGTTTGCCAAGGCTGGTCATCGTGTTGACAAAATTGCACTGCTTCTTTTCTACTAGGCAAAAATCCTCGTAGTTTGCAGCTGCTCAGCGGACTACTCGTATTTGGCCACTGCGTTCTATAAGATGAAATAAAAAATATTCTTAATAAAGAAAATCTAATTTATGAGCTAGAAAAAAATTGATTGCCACTTACCAACTCGATTGTCATTAGACAACTCTCAAGCACATAGCTACCACAGACTTCTATTAGGGTTGCTGTCTAAGAGAATTTTTGTTATTTGGATTGTGATATGGTATCCATCCTAACAGGCATTGTGCACGCCATTGCTGGCCACAATGTATGGCCTAATGGTTGAGCTTTTTGTAGTCTACAGCAATATACCTGAAATGCATTGAATATATGCTTTATTCGTTCACAGATTATTGCTGAAACAATAAACTGAATACAAACCTCAATGAGCATTCTCTTTGCTAATCTTGCATCGTCTTCTCTATCCCAATCACGTAGTAGCTTGCCTTCTCTAATTGAAACACTGTCTGTAAAATTTTCTATCAAAGGTAATCTGTCTGCCCTGTCAAGAGTTTTCTTCTCTATCCAATCGCTAGGCAGGGTACTTTGCAAAAGCAAGATTCTTCTATGCATATTTATTGCAAGTAATCGTATAATTATTCACAATTCCAATGAAATGTACTACTGTTTTTTAAATCTTGTAATATTAATACTCCAACAGATCTCATAAGAGACTGTAAAAGTGCACTTTGCTAAATATTAGTATGAATTTATCACAATAGCTACTTTTTTAGGTTAAAAAAGTGTTCAAACAAAAACCGGTGTGCTCGTGTGCTATTTAGTTACCAGTGCCACTGTTGAACAATTCCTTACGTACTTGAGTAATTAATACGCGAAGCGTAACTTTTTTAAATTCCATTTACCCATTGATCGGACAATAGGTACTAGTTACTAATGTTTACTAATGTTACTATAAAGTTTGATTTGATCTGATGTATTAAAATCAAACAGGTGTAGTAACAAATAAGAGCGGGGGTTCGGGTACCGGCGGGGATAATTCAGGAAGCATGCGTACCGCGCTTTGGCGTTTGAACGTGAGCCAATATTCGAAACAGTTTTTTATTTTTAGTTGCTTAAATAATCAAATTAGTCATGATTTTATTTTGAGTGCTGTTAGTTCGTAAGACGAACTAACGATCGATTTACTTACGAATTTTTTTTACTTAATATTTTCTAGGTTTGACCGCAACTTTGGTTTGGGTGCTAAGGCCAGCACCCAAGACTTATTTTATTAATTTTAAGGATTTCCAGTGGACGAACCAACAAACGACAAAGAGAAAAGTTGTTGCTATCCTGACGAAATATCTAACGGCATAATTAGTTTATCGATTAGCTTAAAAAAAAGGATTCTGGGTGCTAACTTTTTCGACCTAATGTAGAATGAATAACATCTGTTTTTCTGAAACATTGTGAATGTAGTTATAACAGAAAAATTGTGGAAAAAATAAATTAAGTTTTCATTACTAGTATAATTATTACATGAATATCATATCATTTAACAATAATTACCATTTGTTTTAAATAAAAATTAATAACTTTATACGGAATACTGTAGTTTACTTCTTGAGTATTATACATTTATTGTTACTTACCCTCGATGTATATTTATCATTACTATTATTATTTCGAGGGCGAGAAATAATATTTAGTACAGTATGTGCAGAAATGTTAAAAAAAGTCAATATTTGTGAAAGTTCCTTGTGTACGTGATCGAGAGTTGTTTTGAGATTTGGTTTATAAAATAATCGTAAAATGCATGACGCATACGAAGCACTTTTGATGCTAAAATTGGGTGTGCAAATAGAATCTATGACAGCTTATGGTAATATTAGCCACTAATTATATTTAACAGTCATAAATATAATAATTTATTGAACGTTGATAGTATGTTTGATTAATTTTCAGATGATTACTTATTAATTGGAACTAGGGAAGGTCATTTGTTAATGTACAATGTTGCTTCCAACTCAAATGATCCTAAAAACAATGAGAACAAAAATCCATCACTCTACCGTTATAGTAAAAATTTCAGCAAAAAACGAATTGTACAAATGGCTGTAGTTCCTGAGTACAACTTACTATTGTTATTGACAGGTAGAGTATAATTTTTAATCATCTTTGTAATGTAGCTAGGTAATCTAATAAGCTTGATTTTTTCTCACAGATAACATTTTGTGTATCCATGATTTAAATTCAGCTAATTTAAATCAAATCAGCCAGTTACAAAAAACTAGAGGAGCTACATTATTTGCTTTAGATGTACAAAAACATGAAACTATGACAGGGGAAAGTACCGTTGTGAGGTTGTGTGTTGCTGTTAAACGAAAACTGCAATTGTATTATTGGAAAGAAAAGACAAAATCTTTTGAAGAAATTTTTAGTGAAGAAGTAGGTGGTACTGACGTACCTAGAGAGTTGTCAGTTCCAGATATACCTCGAGAATTAGCTTGGTGTGGAGCAACATTAGTCTTGGGTTTTCGTGGATTTTCATATACTTTGATGGATTTTCAAGGCAAATCAAAGGAATTGTTTCCAACTGGAAAATCTCCAGAACCTAGTATTACTAAGCTTTCTGATAACTCTTTTGTACTTGGAAAAGACTCCCAGTCTGTTATAATGGGCACTAATGGTGAACTTATACAGCACAATCCTGTTAAATGGTCTGATTTACCTAGTGCTTTAGGTAAACTTTATATTTCCCTAAGTATAATAATAATAATAATATATATTATAATAATTATAATAATATGTAATATATTATAATAATTATTTGATCTTTAATCATACAATATTACATTTAGCATGGGATGATCCTTATCTACTTGGTATTGTGCATGATAGTCTTGAGGTGTATACTTTAGAAAGTCGTATGCATATTCAGACCATACCAGATTTAAATAAAGCTAGATTAATATGCCGCTGTAAGCAGGGAAGAGTTTATGTTGCATCAATGAGTCAAGTATGGTCTATTAACGCTACTGACTTTACCCAACAAATTAGAATACTGCTTGAGCAAAGTCAATTTCAATTAGCTCTTAAACTTACTGTAAGTTGATTTTTTGCCACCACTCATTAACTATTCCAAATAATAGTCTTGCCATATTTTCTATTACAGAATCTGTCTGATTTATCAGAAGAAGAAAAAACTAAAAAAACTTACAGAATACAAACTCTTTATGCTCATCATCTATTTCGTAATAAAAAGTTTCGGGAAGCTATGGAACAATTTTTGAAACTAGGCACAGATCCTTATGAAGTGATAAGACTTTTTCCCGACTTGGTATCTCGACCGTCAAATGAAAATGAACCAAACGAGCCAGAACCTAATTTGCCGAAACTTCAAGATCGCGATTTAGAAAGCGGTTTACTGGCTTTGATAGATTATTTGACAGAAGTAAGATTCAAACTGATAAATGATGATGCTAAAGAAAAGGAGGCGGGCGAGAAGGGAAAAAGAAAGAACGTACCTCAAAGTGATAAAATGAAAAATATGACAGCTGTGGCAACAGAACAATTGTTGAAAATTATTGATACGACTTTGTTGAAATGTTACTTGCAGGTATTTAATTGAAATGTCATTCTCTTTTGTAATTTATAAATACATTAAAATGAAAATTTATTTTATAGACAAACGACGCATTAGTAGCACCATTATTGAGGCTAAATCATTGTCATTTAGCAGAGGCTGAAAAAACACTACTTCAGCATCAAAAATATCCAGAACTAATAATTTTATATCAAACCAAAGGACAACATAAAAAAGCTCTCGAACTCTTAGAAAAACAATCTAAAGAAAATGATTCTAGTCTGAAAGGAACTGAAAGAACGATTCAGTACCTTCAACATCTTGGCAAAGACCACATGGATCTTATTCTAAAATTTACTGGCTGGGTGTTGGAACAAGATCCTGGAGAAGGTTTAAGAATTTTTATGGAGGATGTGCAGGTACTTATTATTCTTCTTCACAATGAAATTTATAAATCTAACGTTTTATTAATCACACAGGAAGTCGAACATCTTCCAAGGCCAAAAGTATTAGATTATCTTCTGCGTTGTCACGAGGGTTTGGTGATTACTTATCTAGAACATGTCGTGCACGTTTGGGAAGACAACAATCCATTATTCCACAATATTTTAGTACATCAATACAAGGAGAAATGTCTAGCAGCTTTGAGTCCGACGGCAACACCAGCAGAAAAGCAGAACGTTCAGCATATTCGTCAAAAACTTCAGCAGTTCCTCGAAAAATCGCAGCATTATACACCAGAAACAGTCATGAGAGATTTCCCATTCGATTGTTTGTACGAGGAGAGGGCTATCATTCTAGGACGATTGGGTAAACATCAACAAGCAATTTCGATTTACATCAATTTGTTGAACGATGTACCTAAGGCGATACAATATTGTAATAATGTTTATACGAGATACCAGAGTACGTATGAGTTTTATAATCAATTTTTACTCTTAAATTTTTTTATCTGTCCGTTTGATTTTCATCAGATCAAAGCCAAACTGAAAAAGCCAAGCAGAAAGACAACACAGAAGTCTATGTAACTCTTATTCGTCAATTATTACGACCTGACGAACGCGATGGCAATGTAGATTTAGTCTTCGACTCTACACCTCGAACAGCTCAACCAGACTTAGAAACAGCTTTAGAACTTTTAGAAGAACATGCACCGAAAATTGAACCTTTGAAAGCTCTTGAAGTATTACCTGATTCCTTACCGATCGGTAGAATTAGACACTTTTTAGAAGCTAGTATGCAGAATAATATAAATGAAAAACGTAGAATACAGGTACTTAAGGGCTTACTCTACGCAGAACATCTACAGGTACAAGAGCAAAGAATGCACTACGAATCTCAGAATGTTCTCATGACAGAATTCAATATCTGCCCGGTTTGCAAAAAAAGATTCGGCAATCAGAGGTAAGTCGGTCAAATATTCTAAATTGGGGACAGAAATCAAACACGGTCGTACATTTGATAAATCAATTTATATGTTTCGAGTACGTTGTTATCAATAATTGATAAGAACTTCTTAAAGTTTTTAAATAAGAATGGAATTTAATCTCCAAGGTACTGAATAAATAATCTGGATTACAATGTTATAACAAATATAAATATAAAAAATTGATTTAATAGAGTTTAAACTAGTTTTTAAAAGTAATTCTCAAATATAGTGAGTCGAATTTAAAAAGAAATGAATAATTCACTTTTCATTTTAGCGCATTCGCAAGGTACCCGAACGGTGATATAGTGCATTTCTCCTGCCAAATCCGCAAGATGTAAGAAGACACCTTATAGTAAAAGCTCTAGTGCAATTGTACATAGAGAATTCCGTTGCATAATGCAGCTGCCGAGGCAAAAAGTCGCTCACTCGCTATAGACGACTGCGGCTGATTCGTAGGCTGGGGCGTGACCGGCTACTCGCCAAGCGATGATGTCATAGTCCGTATCTTATATTGTTACGCTTGTGTGCCGACGTGATACCGTACCAGGCACGTAACTCTAATAATCTGAACCCTTTTTTGTACATATTAATGCATTTTTTTATTATTGCTAAACTGCAAGGTCTAAGATTTTTTAATGCATGAAAGTGGATACATGGATCCTTTTATCCTACATATTTTTGTATTAATTGTGGTATGAAAATGCATTTTAATTTAGCGAAGTGTTTGAGTTCGGTACTGTGGATATTAATAATGTAAGAGAATTTATGATCTATTATAATATTGTACAAATACTGTAGAATGGTTTATTCACGAACATCATTTGTAATAGCAAAAGTTTTAAAATATAAATAAAATATTCTTATTAAGTTAGTACTATATGATAAATGATATAATGTAATGTAACCCGTTATATTTTATTTTATCACCTAATACTTGAATATTTTTATATTTTGGAGCAGTTTGCTGCTGGGAACTTCGAAAGTCTTGCTACCGCCCTGTCTCCACCTCCAGCTCGTTCACAAAATTCAACCTGCCGCGCAATGGTCCTATATTTCATAACATCTCGTTCAACTATTCGTCAACCAATATACTATAGCTAACCGCATTAATCATCTCATCGCACGTCTCGCTTCATTGAATATGGTTTATAGCATGCTTTTAGTATAGGTAAAAAATCGCAGGTAGTTTTTGTCATCATCTAATAGCTTATTATATAGCACTGAGGCAGGCGCAGTATGCTCGCCGGGCGGGACTACTTTATAGTGGCGGCGTCGTCGCTGTGCTGGCTCTTGATAGTCAGTCGCGCGCCGGTCCTCGAGTCCGTCAGAGCCCCATCTCTCTTTTACAGCAGTGTGACTTGTGCATATGTGTGTGTAGTGTGGCCGTCCGCCGCGAGTGTGTTGATAACTGGGAAGTGGCAAATATACATCACAGCAAGCGCGACATTGTCGTCCAGGTTGTGAGATATAGTGAGCAAAGCAAGTGTATGCCGACTTAAGCTCCGGGCTCTTCCTGCCTCAGGGTAAGTTGTGTGCTGTGTATTAAAGGCGTCGAGGAGCGCTCGTATAGTAAAAATGGCGCCGCCGCTGCTGCTGCTATTACTCTTGGAATACCTATTCCTCTGCTGCTCCCCTCCCGTTTTTCTATGTGTGTACGTGTGTTGTCTGTGTTCCAAGTTCACGAGAAGACTGTGACGACGATGCTCTGGGTCTTTTCTTCTCGTGAATTAACTTTGTTTTATTTAACGTCAGTTTACAATCCATTGTGTTTCAAGTGAACTATCGAGAGAAAGATTGTGGGTGGATGGTGTGGTGCGCGGCAGGTGTGTAAAACTATGGGTGGAATCGATTGATTTTTTTTTCATTAGTTTTTGGTTTGTTACTGACTAATTGATGATTCAAGTGATGTCTTTTCGTTATTGAGTAACATTGATAATTCTCATTGAGTATTCGAACTGTGAGTGGATTGAGTCACGATCTATTAAAAATTTGATTCGCACGTACTGTTGGCTCTCGAAGTAATTTTAGTCTGGAGACTGCTACTCTCAATCGTTATTTTCTTTGAGTTGTTGAGACTTTCTGTCACAAAATTGTTGATAATCGTACGTAATAAGCATTCCGTACATGGAAAAAAAGAAGCGACAAACAAAAATTTAACTTTCGCACCGAAACATACATTTGCTCTAGTACAATTTTATTTATATTGACATATTGACTATGTTCAGAGTTTTATGATGTTTGTGTACAGTCGTTAATCATTGCTCGTTGACTGGAAAACAATATCCCATTTTCATTGTAAATACTTGAATTTTAAACGAAATAAATCCATATGAACTTGTCAAAGATTGCAGTTTGTTTTTGGCAAATAAGGAAAGCTATTACGGAACATTGCCACGCCTTAGCGTAAAATTATATTGAAAAAAAACTTCATTTTTTGCTACTTGTCTAATTTCAATAGTTATAAGTCAAAATATTTCATACAAATTTTCGTGATGATCATACTTATCCATACTCACTCTTGAGTGGTTTTCATTGTAACCCTAAATTTTCGTGAAGGAAGGCAATTTTTATCCCTGATATGCCGGCCGGCATTTTATCGTCTGCGGGGCTCTTTGTTTTTTCTCTTTCTCTTCTCAAAGATAAGCCAGCCTTTTTTGACTATTTATTAGATTAAAAGAGATAAGATACAGTTTTGTGCGCCCATGTTGGAAAGACGATGTAAAAAACGTTTAATAAGTGTCGTCTTTCGAATTTTCGCAGGTTATCTTTGCTAAAGTTCATGCGTATTGACTTTTCACGAGAGGAAAGTACGCGTGCTCGAAAACTTGTCGTATAAGACTATTTTTCTTCTTCTATCGTGTTTCTGATATCGATTTTCATTAGAGACGATTTTCAATGAATCGAATAAAAATACACTTTATTCGGAACTTAAAAAATAAGCTAAGAATCTGTAGCAGTGGTAGTGATTTCGCCAAATTATATCACAATTGAAACTTTAATAACAGCGGTGATGTTAGGTTTTATAACAGTATACTTTTCTTTTGTGATTCGTTTGTTATCTCAAAACAAATCCACCAATATCACGCTGAAAGTATACACCGTTAAGTTACATAAAAAAACATCATGTGCACGTTTACTTTAAGCGAGTAACGCAAATTAGGGTCGATTAACCAGTCACCCAACTCTTTATGCGTCTGCATAGCAAGCATACCGACAAGTCGTACACGGTGAAATGCAATAGTTCATTAAATCGACAATCAAGCGCATCGTCGCGCTTTGTACAAGTATTTGAAACCTGCCAAAAAGGTCGCTAAACTTGCGGGTGTGTATCTATCACCCGTTAAAAAACTTGCTACTGCACACAACGCCTTTATTAAATATACAATGTTCAGCGATCCTGTTTTGCAAAATCGAGGCTCTCCTTTTTGTCCCGCTCTCCTGTTCACTGTTACGTCAGTGCGTGCGCGTCATGCGTCCAATGGAAACGACAGGGGGGGAGGCTTCTCTTTCCCCGAGGGTTTTTGATAACGCACGCGACGTTGCCATGACACGTTCGATTCGAAGAGCTTAAATGGACTTTTTTTCTGGTGTGCGTTGAAACTTTACTCGGAAGATGTTCTTCTCTTTTCGACTTTAAATCAATGAATGAAATCGTCTGCTTTGTTTCTCTACTGCGATCACGCTTAAGCTTGCCTTTAAAAAGATTTTAATCGTGAAGAAAGCTCGTGATCAATCGCGAAGCGCGATCAGAATGATCGACGAACCGAATGCGCGTGCGATTTCTCGCCCATTATCCAAATTGCAACGCAATCGTCGATGCCGAAGGAATAATTCGCTGGCTCGACGAGTCTAAATTACAGCCACGTCGGTATGCTCTACAATTTCGCAACGAATGAAAGACTCTCTCACTGTTTTGCTTCTCGCCGTGTAGAAGATTATCTAATCAGAGCGCTGAAATAATCGTCCGTCTTGTCCGAAGTATATCGACATAAACATCGTACGCGCGGGAAAAGGCAACTCTCTTCAGTTTATTAGCGCACGCAGTTACAGTAACAGCGCGAGCTCGGAAAGCGGAAACAGACGCAGCAGAAGAGAAAAACTTGGAACGAGAGTTCGTTATAAATTGCATCGCGTTTTCATGCACTTTTAATCGACGTGTCCGCGCGTATAAAAACCTAACTACCTTCACGTGAACGCTTCTCATGTGTTGTATCGTTTTATTGGTGCAGAGATTCGAGGTTTCAAACGGTATAACTTTCTCCGAGAACTTTGTCGATAAACCGAAATTCGACTTCTTTATCTATCGTCGTTGCTTATCATACATACAAAAAGCTCCCGATCACCTTTTCGATCCATAAAAAAATCTACAAAAATTGTCGGAATCGTTCATGACAAGGTAAATGTCAGTAGGTCGTTGCACCTCTTTTCCTCATTGTGCGCTTCGTTTCATTTTCTTCTTCAAAAATTCAAAGTCTCTAAGGCAATTACTTTCCGCTCTCTATATTGGGAATTTGATAAAAATAGATCGCCAGCAACAATAAACAACTTTTTGACTCCAATGTGCGTGTCGGAGTTTTATTCCAGAATTCCTCGACTCTACCTATATATATATATAAAGGGGCTACGTCGTCGTCGCACTTCAGGATATATATTTAGAACGCTTGAAGCATGCCATCGCGAGTCGTTGTGAGAGCTTGGGCTTTGAAACACCACGTGCGGAGATATGTGTTCTAGGTTTATATAAAGTTATGGGGATCCTTGGTTGTGGTTGTGATTTGGGCTGGAAGATAAGGTGTATTGATGAATGATTTCTCAAACATTGCATGTCAACACTCCATGAATCATCAGATTTTCACGACTTTCATGGTTATAGTTTTTGAAAAGTCGAGCTTCACGATACAAACACGGTAAAAATCACGAAGTTCTCAAAAAAAAATTTCCACTTGACTTTTGAATGGATAGTCGTCCATGAATAATTCCTGGTATCAGACAAATATATCATTAATACAAACGCGTCAAGGCGGAAGAATAGTAATTTTTTAAATTAAACTCCATATAAAAGAATCTAATTATCGGAGGAGACCACCCGCAGGTTCACACTAATCGATCCACTTTTGCGTATATCGTTATGCTATTTGGATTTTCCACTTGTTATTATGAGTGTCCTTGCACAATTGCACCCCTTCTTGAAACAAAGCCGATCGATTCAAGTTCACGCGCGACGAGAAATAATTCCGGACGGATTTGCACCTGCTGTAACGGTATATTGTAGGTTACAATGGCGCTACTTTTACGACTTACGAGTGCCGAGGACTTTATTAGTACCGTTGAATATTCGTACTTTGCTTTGAAAATGCGTACTTTTTTATTTTTGAATTGATGATTTGATAACGACTACCGTAAAAAAGTGATTTCGCATACTTCATTTTTCATGGAAAGTCTTTCACCTCCCTCTCAAATCTCGAAATATTTGAGTTTCGAGCATAATTAAGAAATTCAAACGAAGATTGCTTAATTCTTTTTGTTCGTTTAGACAGAAAGCAAATGCAGAATTTCTGGTAATTTAGAAACTACAAGTGATCTCTTAACGAGAGTTTTGATAAGATAGTGCTAAATCATACTTAAAAATAGTAACACACTCACGTGGTCAAGTTTACTATTAATATTCTGATTCTTGCTCTCTTTATTCGCTACTAAAATTGAACTCTCGAAATGATGCAGAAAAACAATATTATTGTCATCATGTTTTGGCTACGTTTTCTTCCTTTTTTTAATTTTATTGATTTGCCTGGATTTTCTTTCTAAACTTTCGAGATGAATTGTTACAAAAAATTAATTTCGAAGCCATACCTTATTTAAAAGTCCATGCACGAAATAAAGAAACTTTCATTTCCCGTACGTGCTTTTCTGAAGCGCGCGTCATAAAATTTATTTCTTTGCCATTATTGCAGCCACGTATTTCTAGGTCACAAGTCATCTAAAACAAAATCTTTGGCGAGTTTACGCATTGCAATGTTTTATTAGTCGATAGGACTTTAAGGAATGAGTTAACTTAGAATCGTATTATTTTTATTATTGATTGTAGACCTACTTTGTTTTTACGAACGAACGTCGAATTACCTTTGATGTGGTATTTATCGCTTTTGAACGGTCACAGTCTGGGAAGGTAACTGAGACCATTTTCAAATATATTTGCTTGAACTCTAATTGCGTCCAAGCTAATTATTTCCCTACACAGTACGCGCATTAAGTGTTTCTATGAATATGCTTATCCGTAAATTCGCCTTCATCAATAAAGCATTCCATTCGCATTTCGATAACAGCTTCTTCGAGCAATAATGAAACGTTGCATGCCGTCGGCGAAAACAAACCAAAATGCGAAAATAAATGACAACGGATATGTAGCCGTAGGTTCCTCCCCGAGCGCGAGCAGCGCCACGTAGATTAACGCAAATGCGGACGTGACGTAGACCCTTCCGCGCCCGAAGCGTACCGCTCATTAACGGCCCTCCTGACGAGGATT